AACATTAGTGATAAGCTTGTTTGAAAGAGGAAGCACAGTTACAATTGGTATAGACATACCACCCAGGTCAGTTAAGAGGGACTGGGGTGGCACAGCAAGCCAAAACAGGAGAGATAGAATCTTCTTTGGCTTCAGAGAAAAAAAATTGCCTCCTCAGCTAACATAACTTAAAAAACTCCACACTGGCAAAAGTGGGGCAGCTGCACCAACTTTAGCATCAGTACAGTGCAGTGCAGCGGAATAAAACTAAGACTACAGATATTTTATTTCATCTGTTAGCAGTATCAAACTATTACTGATGGTCACAGGGTAAATTATCCAGCCACTACGCAGTGTTACACCCCTTTTTGGTGGGTTTTTCCACAAAACGTGGTGTAATGCAGCATAGTGTCAGTGTAGCGCTGCTAACTCTACAGAATTGGAGGTGTTTATTTGGTTTTCCTATGCTACATTCAGGTGGTTTTTTATTTTTATGACCCACTGTTGACACTGTATTATCCTGTGATCACACCTACAATTTTAGATTTCTCCTACTAATATCTCAAGTATGACTTCTATTGTCCCATTTCTCTTTGGAATTTACAGGCAACAAGGTCAATTTCTCTTGGCATATTTTCTTGAGTTATCTATGGGTAAGAATATAATTATTTTGGGTTACCAATTCAAAAACCAATCAAATGTTCTTTTCATCATATAAAAAATGATAAAACATACACATTACAATGTTACATGTTCAGTCCTAATTAGAATGACAGTATCAAAACAAAACTGTCTTAGCTTAGCAGCTGGTATGCATTAATGTTAAACATAGCACTCAAGTAGTGTTGCAGTGTGCCAAAGTGCTAAATCTGGTCAAGAGTGTACACTTGCAATGGCCAAGAGTTTTTCTCCTGGCCTTTATAGTGTACAATCTGAGCAAAAGGGAGCTTGGCCATGGAGAGTGTACTCTCAGTGGCTAGAAGGAATCCTGCCGGCTGCCAAGGGTTGTAGGAAGGAGCCAATGGTCATCCCTCTGGAAGGTTTTGGAGGATCAACTCACAATACCTTTGGGGTTTTTGTAATTTGTCTATTGAATTTGTGGGGGTCCAACTCCCAAAAACACTCTGGGGTTGGGAGGATCAACCACCAAACTGATGGAGGAAGAAAAACTAGGGGGAGGGGACATCCCGAGATGGTCCGCAGACAGTCCTCAGGTTATCCTAGGGGTTTTGGAGTCAACACTTCAATTTTTGATACTTGATTAACCAAGCCTCTATAAATGAATCCAAAATAGTGAAAACACAATTCTTTCAAGTAATTCTAAAGGGATAAATATATTCCAAGGAGTAAGTTTTGTCAAGAACAACACAATCTACCCAGAAAAGTTGTTTTTAAGAATCTTTCATTTTATTTCTGTTTATATTTGAGCGTAACCTTGAAAAAAAAACTCTATTTATAGGAAAGAAGCAAAATGAGAAAAATTTTGGAAATTTGATGGAACCAGTCATCATATTCCAATTGATTTCATCCAAATTTTTCAAATACTCTCCTTCCTCAGATAAGTCAAGTCACATTTCTTGCTATTGAATAACTTGATCCCTAGCCTCTTGTATTTAGGATTGAGGTATTGTATAACTTTTAATACATCTTTTTCCATTGCAGGACAATCTCCAACCAAAGCCTCATATAAAATTTTGATTTCTATTCTATTGGGGTTGACTTGGGCATCCTTGAAAGTGATCATCCAAATACAAAATCTTTGTAGCTCAGTGAGATTAAAAGTGAATTCTTCAAATCTTTTCTTTGGTGATGGAATAACATTGGCATTTTCAGTTTCAGCTGACATGTCTTTTGGAAATTGATTCAAATGTGAATTTGGAGTGGATTTTGGGTGATACTCTGAGACCATTTGATCATTCATTAGAGTATGGAAAATTTTGTGCCCAACATTTTCATAATTTATATCTTCTTTTGGATACCTCCCAGGAGCTTCTTGTTCATAAATTGGTTTTAATTTTTTTAAAAGATCTTCAACTGAAGCCAAAGTCTCCAGTAGATTTTGGTGTTTCATTGTTTAGCACATTTTCTGGATATATTTCATAATTGAGTTCAGGGCCAAGATTCAGAATACCAAAATAAATTTGATTAGAAATAATATTACTCACCACCTGGAACCTCAATAACATGTGTTTCTATTTTTTCATTATTGAGATATTCCACCAATGTCTCTACCATTGAATGAGACGATAAGAAGTCCAATACTTCATAATCAGATGTTTTGGTAGATTTTGAAGTGTTTTGGTTACCAATATGAACATCATCGTTTTCTATAAAATAATGGATAAATAAAAGTAAGTTTATCCATGTTTTTTTCAACTTTTAGAGACAAGGGAAGAATAGGGGGGTTCCCAATGGAAAAATATCATGTTTTTATAGCAAAATTTCAACTTCTTAACAACAAAATTATGGAATTTTGAGAAGATGCACAGATTTGGGGTTTCTGAATGATCAAAGCAACTTTTTTCTTTTTGAATTGTTCATTGATAAACCTCTTAAATTGGGCTTCAACAATTTTGCAAATTTCACTTGTGAACCCCCCTCACAAATACTACTCACCACTTTCCAGGTCAACCTGTGGTTCCTTACCTTGAGATACCTCTTGCTGAACCAGCGGATCAACTGGCTTAATTTTTCCAGTGACTCAACAAACAAGAATAATCAAATTTTAGCATGCAAAAACAACCCAAAAAAAAAATCCTAGATCTTCTATCTGAAACAGATATCACACGGAGATCTTGACATACCATTTTCTTCTTCAGCTTCTCTTAAAGCTAAAAAATAAGAAAAATCCAATATAAATAATCTTACCACTAATTATATTCAACTTGAAACATAAAACAGATGAGAATATAAACATACAGCCCAACTTTCTTGCCAAATGCCCCTCTGCATCAGTAGAGGATGTGGCCATTGGACAAATAGTATGATGAAGCTGTTCTGCTTGCTTGACCAGAGGCTTTGAAGAGGAAATTGGTTGTGCTGAAATGCCATAGTAGTGCAAGAGCTGTAAGGAAACTAAGATCTTGGTTAAAAGCATGTCTGTGGATAGCTTTTCTGGTTGAGCTCTTTGATAGGAGGGGAGAGTCAAACTACAGAACAACGGGGTGGCTACTTATGATCTGACCTTTCCCTGCTTCTTGGTGGGAGTAGTACCCCGCACAAGGGACAAGCGTAACAAAGCCCGCGAGCACCCGTAGGCGTGAGGTGCAAGCGAGGCTTATGACCAAGATTGAGGAGCCCGCGCAAGAGCTCCTCAGAAATAAGTGTAGCTTTTCTTTGCTTCAAATTGTAAATTATATGTTTAATGTTTTGCTATCACTACCCTATCCCAGCTGAGCGGTGGCATCCTATCTACAATCCTGTCTGTTCACTTTCATCGCGGCACCATTTGTTTTTTTTCTATCTTTTTTTTGAAATCGGTCATTTCTTGTAATTTTACCGGACCTTTAATGTTTTGTCTATTGATCCATTAAAATGTCAATTGGCCAATCGGCCGTTGAAGTATAATGCCATACCTCAAATTAAATGAACAACATGTGAAAAAACTACTCATAACTAGAGAGAGAGAGATCGAAGAGCAAGACCGATCGACCGAGAAAAAAAAAGCAAAAAAGATCAACACAAAAGGAAAAAAAGTAAATAGAAATAACCTTGAGCTCTTTGGAAAGCAATCGGATCCGCGAGGCGACCAAGATAAAGTCGCTTTGGAATTGTGAACCAACAGTGAGCCAGGTGATTGGGACAATGCAATCATCAAACACTCGCATGCGATTGTCAAACATTGAACAATTTTCCAGCTTCTTGTAATCTCTTTGGATGGGCGGTTGACGAGGACGTTGCGACGGCCATCTGATGAATTCTTCAACCTCTTGCCAGCTTGATCTTGAATGGTGTTGGGTGTTTATATGTGCAAGGAGGGAGTGTATGCGTCGGGTTGGGAGAGAGAGGGACGGAGGAGAGAGAGATCTTATTACTTGAATTAAATGCCGTTGAGCTGAAAGGCAAAAAGGATAGAAAAAAAGAGCGGTTCGTTGAAAAAAAGAGCCATCCAAAAAACCCATGGCTTTGCTATTAAGCGGCCATGGAAATTCAAGAAACTCAAAGTTTCATGAATTTATTTGATCAGCATAGGGACATATATTTCAGGTTCTGAATTGGCTGTTTGATAAATAAAAATACAAAGTTTAAACTATGAAAAAGAAAAAAAAAACTTGTTCAAAATTAAGGCCTGCAGGTGCCCACAACATCCTCTGCCACCAAAGCTTGGAGATGCTGTTGGGCCATGATGGCTGATTATTCCTAAGTCCTCTCCCTGCGGGAGAGTACCTAGTGCTTGCACACTCAACCAGCGGCTACAGTGCCCCACGCCGCAGCAGGGACGCGGACTTTGATAAGTTCGCACAAGGGAAGGTATCATGTCTTGGTGCTTCTTAGAGCATTCGCATTGGTCTGGTTAAGTTTTAGGTTAGGAAACCTGGGTGGGAGGTCCGGGTTTGCTAGCCTACTGTTGTCAAACGCATCCGTCCGGGTTAACAAACCCCTGGAGGACAACTCCCCGCGAAATCGCTAAATTTCTGGTTAGCGATCGCTAAATTTAGCGACCGCAAACCTGAAATCAAACTTTTGGTTAACTAACCTGCTGTTAACCTCGAATCAATGCGAGTGCGCAAACAGGCTTGGTCGGGTTAACTCGCCTTAACCCGGCAATTTAACCCAACCAATGCGAATGCTCTTACCTAGCAAAGTATCATGTGCACCCATGTTTTACTATTCATGAGATTACATACGTAGCAGTGCAATTGTTTCAACAAAAAATGAATCTTGAAACATCAGGTGTCTGTATCCTCAACTGCTGTCAAGTTCACCATGAGCTTGACCCTGCTTTCCCGCAAAGCTTGTAACACCAGTCTTTTGCTTCCCTCTTGCAAGTGGTCAGTGGGCCTGACAAACCAATCTCGAATAAGTATTGCCTCAATGACACCAGCAATCTAGGTGCACGATCCGGCCGGACATAAGAACTGGTCCCACCTCTTGCCATACTTCACGTTTCGTGTCGCAAGTGTTCGCTTTCGCCGGGACAAGTCATTAGTACCTCCCCTTCTGTATGTCAAGTGTTTGTTTTCCCTGGGACGAGTCAGCAGTCGGACCTATAGTTAAACAGTAGATTTTGCATCTATTTTTGCAATTGCAAGTTGAATGCGGCCGGAGATTTACCATGCGCTCATTCTTGCTATACCTTGAATTTAGTACACCAAGTGTCTCACTTCTATAAGGCACCAATATAGCGTCCTCATTGAATTCCCCTGAGGAAAAACGTACAAATCTGACTTGATCTTCTGAACCGACTTGAACAAACTGGTTGGGATCTTATAGACTTTGAAAGATGTAATGCACGTGTATCCTAATCACTATTATATTAGTATCCAACTGCCTTCCCCGTTCGACCTTGGTCGGATCTGTGTCTGTTCCTATACGCCGAGACGACTCGAGAAAACGGATCGGCTGATGGGGGCAAGCCTGCAATGTATCCTGGCTCTTGCCCTTCATCAAGGTGTGCACGGGAGCCAGCTGTGTCATGCGCAAAGGTGTTTACACGCAAAGCCTTGACAGACGTTTACTTTCCTGCTGATTTAATTGTATCACTAATGACTCTAGCAAACCTCAACTTTATTGCTAGCTTGAACATCTTCTGTGAATGTGTGGTTGGATATGCACAGAGGACGTGTGTATCGTGATAGGCAAAGCCAAAGTCCCACAACAATTGGGACGAGGTTTAAGCCTCAGCTCATTCGAAAGAGGAAGCGCGGTTTGGATTGATGTAGCCCGGCGGAGCGGGACTGGGATGGCGCCTTATGGGCTTACAGTCAAGTGTAGAGACAGGTGTCTTTGATAGCCGAGAAGAGCAGGGCGCCTTAGACCTTGTTCTTTGTTCAACAAAAGGAAATCCTCGAAAGAGAGTTATGATGTGTGTTGGACTAAACTAGAAGGGGGGGGGGGGGGGGGCAAAGATCCGGATTCTGGTAAGCTTCTCTGTAGCCCGGTTTGATCCGAGCACGACTGAAGTGATGAAGAAGCCGAGCGCATGGGACAGCAAGGATTTGGATGCGCTGAGGAGGAACCTCAACAGGACAGTGATGGCTAGAACGATGACGGCATTGGGAGCACCAGCAGGGCCACTTGGAACAACTGTCAAGATATCACAATACCGGTCTTTTCCAAAGCGGGGGCTTAGGAGAGGCTGTAGAGAGCTGGCTGGCCAATCTATGACTCTCGGGCCGAGCTTTCGGTGTTCCTGGAAGAAGCAGGAGGGATGGTGGGAGCAGGAGCGGAGGAAATTGATGGTATGAGCGTGCCGAGATTGATGGTTCACCTCCATCGTCCTCTTGACGCGCCCCAAACACTGGATCTTGACTCACAACACAGCCATGACTAGCACTCATGCACTCACAAGAGTCGCCAACAAATCGCATGAAACTACATCGGTTCGTGATATGCAAGTCACTAGGTCTGACTACATACAAAACTCCCTTCTTATATCTTGTTGCCTTTGGTTAATAGCCTCTTACTTAATTTTTGTTGTTCTTGGTACTTTTAGAGGCTCAAAAAAATGTTGATCATGGCGTGTTTAAAAGTAATCAATCACCTTTTTGAAAGGTGGAGATAACTATGTAGACTGGAGAGATATATAATGAACAGAGTTTTATACACACAAAGAAAATATGACAGGGGATCTGAAATTTAGCTTCTTTTGCTTGAAAGAAGAACACACGAGTTTCTTTGAAGTCAGCAAAAGAGGAAGATAAGCATAGGAAATGATACTAGTGCTGCAAATTTTTTGTGAGGCAACCGCACCAAGCTGAACAAGAGAAAACTTCCAGAAAGAAAGAAACAAGAGAGATGAGATGGATGTAGAAGTGGATGCAAGGTTCAGAGTAAGCCGGGTTCCTCTTGGATACCGCGTTTGATATTCAGTAAGATTGCAGTCTTCCAACTGTCCAGTTTCATCATCGAATCGAACTCGGCCACTTGGTTTGTGAATTCTTCTTGGTTTCCAGCGTCATAGGCATCGACGATCGCCAACAAAAACTTGTACTCTCGTTGTTGAACAAAGCTGGGATCCAATTCGGCATACTTCTCGATCGCCCGTTTCGTGCTCACCACATCCTATGATTTTTCGACATTATATGGTCCAAAAGAGGATCGGGAAAATATCGTTAGATACGTTTTTTTTTTGAGAGGGATGATGGTTGCATTGGGCGGAGAGAAATCATGGACTGACGCCTGTGCACAGATGACATAATCCGGCTTTGAAGAAGTATTCTTTGACGTTGTATCGAGTCAGTGGACTGGAGAGAGAGTTCTGAGCGACGATTTCAAAGTTCTCAATCGCCACTGGATACTGCTCCAACTGAGCCGCGAGATCTGCTGCATCTTTGTAACATCCATTAGCAGTCCTGTATAAAAAAACAACAAGTTTGAGTAAGAATCGAGAAACGCAAAAATCGAGATGAGATAGTTGGACGCACGCATGGGCATCTTCCTGGGCATACCATTCGGCTGCTTGTAGAAACGCATCTAAGGCGCCTTGTAAATCTCCTGCATCCTGTTGGAAAATCCTTCCGATATCTTTTTGTCGGTCGGCGGCCTGTCGGAATCGACCCTTTTCGATCAAAATCTCTACAGTCCGACGTAGACAAGCAATACCGACTAGAGAGAAGCAATTGATGAGCTTTTTTTGAATTGAGTATTAAACTCGGTGAGAAGACGTACGTTCAGGGTTAGATTTGTTGTAAGATTTAGCGGCCGACCAAAAGTCGTTTCCAGCATCATCTTTCTCGCCGAGTTTCAAGCTACATTCGGCCGCTTTACAGAACGCATCCCCGGAATCTTTCCACTTCTTCTCGACCTTGAACTGGTTAGCAGCGGAGATGTAGAGTTCACGTGCTTCCTCGATTTTAGATGTTGATGAGCCTCCGAATCCGAAGAAGGATGAGCTCGAGGATGTCAGTTTTCGGTCGGCCTTGGCAAGCGTGCTGTCCACGACGAGGGTAATAAGACTCGTTAGTTACTTTGATCGGGATTTATCGATGTCTTGTGTGATGGGGTGAGGGGAATTGCTAATGTTCGATGGTACTTACTCGTCAGCACCTGATGGCATCTTTGTCTTGTTCTTGGTGGTTTGGTGGTAACTTGCCCTTTTGGCAGTGTTGGAGGTCAGCGGTGGTTGAATCTAATCGACCGAACCTCCGGGGCCCCGAACGAGGCTCTTCAGTCCAGACTCCACTCTTTTCGTCGCCATGACTACATATGTATGAGGTATAGGAATGTCACAACTCTCAACTGGAACTCGCACCAGGGGCTTACCAAGCACTTCTTCAGAGCTGCCAAAAAGCTCTGCAGTCCGGTAAAAAGACACAAACATTTATAGGAATTCACCCCTTCAAAACTTGTGACTCACTCAGATAACATCACAATTGACAATTGAGCTGCATTATTCAAAGACATTCAATAAATTACAAAGCCGTCATCACCACAATTCAAGGGAAATTACAGTTGCGGACAGCATAAACCACCCCTGCCCCGCCCACAAGACTCAAAATTCACATGCCAACTAATTTTATTGCAGTTTTGAGCTTATACACATGCATAGAGCTCAAAATTGTAGCTGCTCAGCTTCTGCACCAGCACTTCTTTTGTTTTGCTGCATGCATGTATGTAGACATGCCTAAATAAATTCATAAATATGGTGTTTGACACTGTATATTCATGGGGTTATACCTCTCAGACTCCTCCATCATACTTCATCAGTGAATGCTCTGCAGTATTTTCCAAACATTTCAAAGGCTAAAAAGAGCCTAAAAGTAAAAAATAAATCTTGTTTTTGGCCCACAGATTGGGACTTCCAAAAAATCCTGGGTCGTTCTATGCCGTCCACAACATTCAGCAGAAATAAAATTACCTGGATGACCCCATTCAAAAAGAATGGGATTTTGAGGGGTACCCGGTGAGAAGTTTGACCAGACCATTTATCTGAACAATTGACAGAAAACTAACAGTTTGCGTTGAAATCCAAAACTTGCACATCATGATGGATGTTGTTCTTGCAGGTATGTGACTAATTCAATCAATCATTTGAATCAGGAATCCCTTGCATGTTTATAATTGAAAATGATACCAGTGGGCTTATGATGAATATAAAATTACTAGAAAAAAATCAATTCACTTATTTGTTGAAATCTTGGACAGTGGAACCTCCTTGGATGTTCATTAAAGTTATTTTTGAGGCACATACAGTTGTGCAAGGCATCCTACTGTACAGGATTTCCCAGCTGTTTGTAATTTCAGACTTGAAAAAATAAAATAAAATGGAATTTTTTTGATCCCTATCAGGTTGACATGGTGTGAGCCTGCTTTTTCATGGCTGTGCAAACTCTTTTTTCACCAAGGGGATGTTATTTTCCCCATTAAAGGCCCTAAGGTGGGCTCTGGGCACCTAAACCATGGTTTGAGGGTGGCTCTAAACATAATAATTATGGGTTTAGGTGGGTTCCTGATTGCATAGGTATAGATTTACAATACCTTACCAGTTTTGCCCCAGGAAGAAATTACCATTTGGGTGGTGGAAAATAGAAAAATTTGCCTGAGGCTTTTTTACAAAATAACTCAGGAGTAAAAATTAGGCTAAAATGAGCTACTTTAGCCAAAAAATAAAAATGCCTCAAATGAGCTAAAAATAATTTTGGAATGTTTGAGGAATTTTTATTTTTGGGCTAAAATAGCTCATTCTAGCCTAATTTTTACTCCCTGAGTCATTTTGTAAAAAAGCCTCAGGGAAATTGATCTATTTTCCACCACCCAAATTGCCATTTTTTCCTGGGGCAAAACTGGTATTGTTTGTAGTGATAGCGCAGCGTAGCATAGCAAAAATCTGCTAAAACAACGTGAACACTACACTACAGGATTTGGGCGCAAAAAAGTGCCACTACACTGACAATTTTTGGTCAAAACGTGTGGCGTAGAGTAGCAGCCCAGATGTTCATGTATCTTCAGAGATTTTTGTTGAAAACGGTCCAAATTGGCCAAAAAATGAGTAGTTGTTTTTTGATAAAATACAATTGTAATGTATCTGATTTTAAATTCAAAATACAAATTAGAGATCGTTCGTTCGGACCTAGGTACCTGCTCATTTTTTTCAAGAAAATAGATACCTAGTACCACACCAGACACCTCCCGGGGGGTACCTAGGGTACCAGTTGCAGGTACCTCAGGTACCTTCCCTCTCTTTTCCACTTAGTTTCCCTCCCAGAGTCCCAAGTCACTTTATTATTATTATTTATTTTCATATTTATTGTAAAATATCACTCATAAGTCACTCTTTTGGCATTTTTTCATATCTGTTGTAATATATCTAAATCTAATTGGAAGCATCTTACTTTTCTATTTTTTTCATATTTATTGTAAAAGATCAGTCCCAAGTCACTTTTTTCATTTGTTCATATTTAATAATTTAGGGGCTTGGTTAAACGACTCCCAAAAACTGGAGAGCCGACTCCCAAGCCCCGGAATCCCCGAAAAATGGGAGTCCAACCCCCAAAACCTTCGACAGGTTTGGGAGTCGACTCCCTAAAAAAAATAATAATAAAAAAAGAAATTCCCCGGTTGGTATAGGAGTCGACCCTCCAAAACCAACCAGGGTTTGGGGGTCGATGAAACAAAAGACCCCCACAGAAGCAGCCGGGAGGATTCCTCCCGGCCGCTCAGATTACACACCGATGGCCGAGAGGAATCCTCTCGGCCGTCGAGATTCTACTCTCAGCAGCCGAGGTGATTTCCCTCGGCCGTCGGCCGTCCAGAGTATACACCTCGGCCGTCGAGAGTGTACACTCTCAACGGCCGAGGGAAACCACCTCGGCTGTCGAGAGCGTACACTCTCGATGGCCGGGAGTGTACCCTCGGCCGTCGAGAGTGTACACTCTCAATGGCCGAGAGGATTCCTCTCGGCTGTTGAGGGTATACACTCTCAACGGCCGAGGGAAACCACCTCGGCCGTCAAGAGCGTACACTCTCGATGGCCGAGAGTGTACACAGCCTTTGAGAGGGTGTACACCTCGGCGGTCGAGGTAGTTTCCCCGTCGGCCGTCAAGAGTATACACCTCGGCTGTCGAGAGCGTACACTCTCGATGGCCGAGGTGTATACTCTCGATGGCCGACGGGGAAACTACCTCAACCGCCAAGCAGTAAGGGATATCACCTCGGCCGCTGAGAGCAGAATCTTGACAGCCAAGAGGATTCCTCTCGGCCATCGGTGTGTAATCTGAGCGGCCGGGAGGAATCCTCCCGGCCGCTTCTGTGGGGGTCTTTTGTTTCATCGACCCCCAAACCCTGGTTGGTTTTGGAGGGTCGACTCCTATACCAACCGGGGAATTTCTTTTTTTATTATTATTTTTTTTAGGGAGTCGACTCCCAAACCTGTCGAAGGTTTTGGGGGTTTGACTCCCATTTTTTGGGGATTCCGGGGCTTGGGAGTTGGCTCTCCATTTTTTGGGAGTCGTTTAACCAAGCCCCATAATTTATTGTAAAAAGTTTAAACTATTTACAACTTATAACTAATTGAAAGAATCTTCATCTTCAATTTCGTCCAAAACTATCACCTTCCTTTTTGATTTTTGTTTAGACTTCTTTTTATCCTGGAGTCCCTGTTTCCATGCGGTCAAGGTACCTTCTTGGATCCTGGAGTTCTTGGAGTAGAAGGCCACCGTCATACCTCTACTTATTGAACAAGAATCAAGTCGGTGCCTTTTTGACGAAACATAATCCCGGCCAAAGCTGAACTCTCGTTCAACATCCACAGATGTTGCTACAAAAATTCAAGTAGAATATAATAGATATGTTAGACATAGTCAAATTCAATCATTATCATAGGATGAGTTCAATAAATGGCATTTTAACTTACCTGGGCAGCCTAAAACGTCTAGCGCCATATGAACAAGCCCTCCGTGTCAGTTACCAGAACGCTTCTGTTCCATCCACCACTTCAGTGGATTCACCAGCTCATCACCATTGAGGACAAGTCCCCCAGAAAGCCATGTGTCAAATGCATCAGCTGAGCTGTCTCCCCCCCGGGTGGCAGTTGCTCTTCCAAGGCTGGCAAGCATACCAGTGATGGGCTATGGAAAGGCAAGAAACAATTTGATTAGTAGATTATCTAGAGGTTGGGATGAGAGGGAAGAAGTTATGAACTTTTCAACCTACCTTTGAGCTAGTAGTTGGAGCAGAGGAGGCAGGAGTGAGTGGTTGGGGCTTGTAATTTGATGCCCACATTTCATGAGCTAGGCGGATTGCTTCGGCTATCCATTTGGGTTCCCATTTTGCTATCTTGAAGTACTCATCTTTGAAGGATGGGTGCAACACTGAAACACACCATTTATGTAAGCAAAAATAAACCAAGAAATGAACAAAAAATACTCACAAATTGCTATCCTATAAAGGGGTGATGTGTCAGTCAAGCTGTAGTACTTATTTGTTATCTTTAATCCTACTCGGCAGGCATTCTTCAATGCGGGTGGGTAGTTTGAATTGCTGATAAATGTCGAGAGGTGATCAGTTATTTGGTCAATAAATATTACTATGTCGGAGATTCAAGCCGAGCCTGCTTTGGATATTTGAAGTGTGATCTTGTGAAACAGGTTGAGGACCTCGGCCAAATCGCAAGCCAAGTCCAGGTCTGATTGATCCAAATAGTGTACACGGTCAATCCCATATCTTTTGTGGCGCTGCCACTCAAGACTTCAGATGAATGATATAGCACATTGAGTCAGCTCAACAGTATGTCTCCCCCAACTGTAAAGATAAAGACTTACATAGCCGCTTGACATCTGATGATGCTGTTGATTTGAATAATGGTAGAGTTCCATTTTGTTCGTACATCTCGTTCAATGTTGTGTGGTCTTTCACAACTCTTCTGTTGACAGATCTTGATGAATTCGGCCTTGGAAGTTGGAGAGTACCTCAATTTCTTTGCAATTGCGCAAAACTGTACCCAAAGAAAATATGACAGTTAAAAAGGATTGAATTCTAATTAACTTGACTGATCAAATTGATTGTAATGACTTACCTTAGCCAAAGTACGTTTACAAGAAACCAAAGTGTAGCGATCATCCTCCTCCTCTTTGCTAGCATTTTCAATATCGGCCTCATTGAGTACTTCATTGTCATCGAGATCTGCTCCGTACTCTGATTTCTCATCACTTGAATCATCACCTGCTGAGGTGGGGGAATTATCCCGGAGGCCCCAAGGAAGCCTAGGATGAAATGATGAAATCTAATCAGCAGCTCATCTTCTCTATAAAAATTCATGATAAAAGACTTTCATTAAAGCTTACACTCTGATTTGATCTTCAGGATCTTCTTGTTCAGAAATTGAACCATCTGAATCATTGTCAGCAGCCATCGATCCTCGATCCTTTGCGTCCTTCTTGTGACTCCCAAACGGCCGAAGAATCCCCTGGACAATTAAGTTGAGGATGTGCGCGAAACATTGTATCCATTGAGCGTCCCCGTGGAATCAAGTCCACTTGAGCTTCTTGAGCTCCCGTACCATCACTTCATTATTCTTTGCATTGTCACTCACAATGCCACATATCTTAACAAACAATGAGGTATCAGTGTTATCATTAATGCTTGTTAATGTCCAAAGAATCCAATAAAATAAAACTCACTTTGTCTTGAATTCCAAATTTCTCAGCAACTAGGCGGACTGTATCGGCCAAGTACTCACCTGTGTGCCTTTTTGACAGGCAAACAAAGTCCAGAGGCATGGCCTCAAAAGTTGGGTTACCTGATTGATTATCTACTAAGTGATATCCGACTACACCCAATATGTTGAATCCATTTGGTGACTGCCATGTGTTGACTCCTATCAGCGGTGGGCCGCTACGCTTTTGGCCCAAAAAGCGTAGCGTAGCGGCGCTTTTTTTGCGCCAAATTTTTGTAGTGTTAGCGCTTTTGTAGCGCATTTTCGCTACGCTGCGCTACAGCACTTTTAGCGGAAAAAGCGGCTAAAAACCGCTAAAAACGGCTGTAGCACAGCGTAGTGGGCCCTTTTTTGTGGCCCACACGCGTAGCGTTAGCGGTGTCGTGGCGGAATTCCGCTACGCTACGCTTAACGCTAACGAGAATTCCGCTGCGTTATGCTACACTAACCGCTACGGTTAGTGTAGCGGCCCACCGTTGCTCCTATATATAATGCACCTTTATGTGCCTAAGAAAAAAAATAAGAAAAGAAAGGTGAAATTAGGAAATGATAAAAAAAGTGCAGATAAAGAAAGTAGTGAAGTACTCACATTCAAAGTCACTCGGTATTCATCTTGTATAGCTGAATAAAGAAGGTGGATGTCCTTTGAGACCCTGCTTGGCGGTGGTAGGTGCTTGACAACTGTCGGGTGAAGGATTGCTTTGTGGCTGGCATCCACAAGTGAGGAAAAAGACCTGGCAGCTTCTGCACACCAGATTGCACATAGTTGGGGAACCTGGATTATGCATGTAATGTTCAGTATGCTTACAACAGACACAAACGTAAAAGTAAAAATAAAAAGAACTTACCTCTGAGGGATTGATATCACCAGTTCCAGTTATTCCTAGATTAGCCAATGATTGCGTATTTTGGGATTCATTGTGTTTGCGGCCGCAGAGCAAGGCATGTTTGTTGAGATTGCTGCAAGATGAATCTGAGGTAGGGCGGTTGATCTGGGTGCCACATCCAAGCACACATGAAGCCCAAGGAAGGAAATCAGCCACAAAAAATCTGATTTATGCATGGTTTAAAAGCAAAAATAATAATAAATTAATGAGATATTAAAAACAAAATAGCTTACAGTTTGCAGGGATAGGCTATCATACGCCGGCCATGCTTGTCCCTCTGATCTGAAAGCTCTGGCTCCCTGTATGAAGTATAAGTTGAGCTGGCAGAAGATTGAGCTACCCTCTGGGCTCTCACTTTAGTAAAAAGCAGAAAAAAAAATACATTACATCAGCCTGAATGAAAAATTAAAAAAAATACAGACAGGCAGGAATAAATGACCAGAGAGTGAGATCTTACATAGCTCCTCCTAGTCAGTTGGGGCTTGTTCACTTGCAGATGGGTGCTGGGTGCTTGGTGTCTCCTGGCTTCCATCTTCTTCTTGGGGATTGTATGACTGCGACGACAAGCGAGAAGCGACAGACTTCGGTCGGACACGGCCGCAAGGTATGTCGGACATCCTGCAAAGTGTCTTGCTTCACAGCGCTTGTAGATTGTTCAATTTGCTTTGGCGGGTTTTGATCGCAATCGATAAAGCTTTGAAGAGCAAAAGAGCAGCCACATCAGCTCTCTGCTCAAATGATAAAAAAGGACAAGGGGAAACATAGTGAAAGAATTGTGGCAGGGAAGAAAAAAAAGGGGGGGGCTTACCGTTTGTAGGCCTTGTTGTGGGTCGTTCAATTGGTGATGAGGGGTGTTTAAGTCTCTCGAGAGTCGATGGTGAGCGTCCGTCGGTCCGGTTATCGATCTCTTGTGCACTATCTACCCGCCAAATGATGTGGAGATGGGCAGGGCTCGGTCCTGGGCAGAATTCAAGCCCCTGCGACCCCTGTGCAGCCCCCCATCCCTCCCTATTTTTTTAGACATCAGGCGGTACCTGTAGCGGTACCCGGGTACCGCCGCTTTTTTGGCCAAAAAACCGGCACCCGGCACCTCCTGGCGGGTGCGGGGCGGGTGCGAGGGGTACCTCCCAGTAGGTACCAGGTACCTGCAAAAAGTACCGACGAACGATCTCTAATACAAATTTTATGAAGTATCAGAAAAAATACAATAAATTAATAAGGTATCTGAAGATACTGTATTGTATCATATCTGTTTTGCTATTGACTATACATAGTTATTTCAGAAATGCTTGAACTCCTTAGCACATTTTGTTTGCACCTTAATGTGGCCCTGCCCTTGCAAAGTTTGGCAGACCACCCACCAGTCGAGACTGATAAACCATATTCAAATAGTTTTTTGGGTTTATATGGCCATGATTATTGCTAGCACTGGACTCTGAAGCAACACTTGGCTGCTAATTTACGCTGCACTATCTACATATGTCAGTAATTTAGTGCACTTAATTCCTTCCCTGATACATTAACATTATCTGTAGTGGCAAATTTTTCTTTCAGCCAGTAGTGTCAATGATGAAACAATACAATGTGATGCAATAAACCACCATGTATCAGTATTGCATTGTTTTAGTGATACACACTAATTTGATAATGATGCATTACATTGGCATTGTATTGGAAAGCAATGCAGATGGTGATTTTTGCTGTTTTTGGTGATGCATACCAACTTCCAAGAATATGCAAAATGCACCCAAATTATTGTGCATCACATTGCTGAATCAATGTGATGCCAATACCCCGCGTCATTTTTTTTGATGCGGGCGATGCAATGCAAGGCCCCTGCATTGCCCACTTGATGCAATATGATACAGGACCAATGTGATGCAATGCTGATGCATGTGTTGCATCAGTTACACTGTTGGTAGTGTAATGGTGAATTTTTTGTCTGTAATGCATTATCAGATTATCAAGAGGTGAAGAAACCCTAATGACATTTTAAGCATCAAAAAGCCTCTCTTTTTGAGCTTTGGAAGCAATGCATGCCATGAATGTCCAAAAAGTATCACTTGTCTTACCATTATTAGTGTTTTTTTTTTCAAGAAAAAATCTACAAGTTGCTGATAGTGTAATGAGCATGAAACAAATTCCAAGGCAAAATGGATAATGTAATGTGCAAACAATTTCCAAACATTATGGCAATTTCCAAACATTATGGCAAAAGTAATTATAAAGAGTGGAAGCTCACTATTTTATCTTTACACTACTATTACGGGTGATGTGAAACTACCCAGTGTTGTCTGAAGTGTACCCAACACCTTTGGGTCTGCCTGTGGGTATACCCTTCAGATGTAGGCAAATGAGTGTGGCCAGGCTCTACCTGTGGGTATTGGGAAAGGCACTGGAAATATACCTGTGGGGCTCTATGGTCCCTGTGTTTAAATTCAGACCAAAAGTACATATACCCAGCCTTTTACCATGGGGAAGGCCGCGCAGGATGACCCACTGAACCCACCTAACTACCTTCGCACACAATATTGCAAATGTGTGGCCCAATTAGAAAAAAATAAGCTAGCTTAGATTTGATGATATTGGGCTAATCAGCGATGACTACTTATCGCTCATGATGTCTTGAGATTTTTTTTGTGCAAAACAAATTCCCCTTCTTGATTGATAAACATGAAAAAATTTCCAAGTAGAGTCTGGGAGCTAGATGCCAATGGATTTGAGCTGATGTTTCAATCTGAGGTTTAAGCTGCGACAAATTCGTAATCCATCAATCCATTTTCCAGTACGTACTGGTTGACATGTGGGCCAAGCCCAAAATTAGCTACGTAAAGCAGCCTCTTTGAACGTGTTGCAGGAAAGCCGTGTTCAAGCAGTGCCCTTAGCTTTTTCAAGTCGTCCTCATACCCTGAGCACATTAGCCGACAAGTTTCTTTCCCCCGCTACCGTCGCCGGTGTTGATAAAACCCATGGAACCGGCTCCTGGTGACAATAGATCAAAGAACGCTACCGCTTAAAGTCCATTAAAAATTTCTGCCGAAGTCATCGCTTTATTTCGCCCTTCCCCGGTCTCGGTCTCGATCATTGAAGTGGCATGGAAATTTGATGGAAACTATTATTAAATGTCCGGCAACCTATGGAGATCAGCGCCAAGCAGTTGAAACATTCTTCTAACAAGTCATTAGCAGAAGCCTATCAGTTTATAAGAGGAGACGAGAGGTCTATCTGGGACTCACCCACACACCGCAATTACTACTCTGCTTGTATCGTATTCTAAACATGACTTCGATAAATTTCTTAGTGGCTCTTCTTCTTTCGGCCTTAACATTGGAAGTTTGGAGCTTCCAATGCAACAGTGCGTTTTATCCTTTTGGCGTTTGCGCCAGAATAGGTGATCCTAGTTATGATTTGAGTAAGCATTTTTATAACGACCTGAAAGATTGGAGGCTGCGAGCATCTAACACGATTCACTTTTTCGATAGTTGCCGATGCCCCCAAGGATAGCAATAAACCCGGGGATCTAATTTGTTACCCCTTAAGTCCTTTCTGTTGCAATAAGAATGCGGTAAGTATTTCAAAACATTTTGTACTATGCGGTCGCCAAAAGACTTTGAAGGTTGATCTATTACTTGAACTTATTTTGATAGACACAAATATCTACCAAAGCCAAAATCAGATCCACAAAGTTTCTAGATTTTTGCAAAAAATCTCCTTAAGCTACAGAGCTGTTGGACCCAAAATACTGCGATGATATGATATAGAACTCTCTATTTAAAATATTACATTTCAGCCTGTGGTAGTAGAGAACTTGAACGGAAAGAAATAAGATATAAATGGAAATGAAAATCACAATTTATCACAAAACAAAATTGAACAGTTCAATAAGAAAGGGATACAAATGGGTCAGTAATTATCACACAGTATGATGTGAAAAAATGACTATGAGAAATATTCAAGACACAATCAGAACCAACTGGAACAAAAAGCAAGATCTTAGTTAGTTGGAATGAAAGCCAAAAAATACAAAAAGGCTGTTGAAATTACAGTCCAAGGGGTTCATTTTCAAAACGCTGTGGCACATCAGAACGTGGTGAACTAGTGAGATGAACAAATTTGGAAACCTAGAAAATACTTGAGTGGATGTACTTGAGCTCTTTCATCATTCATGTTGAAGTTAACAAATTAATCCTCCTGGATTGATGTTCAGCTCATTTGACAAATCTAATTCAGAAATATTCAATGATTCACTAGGGGGTATCAAATAGGGGCTTGGCTAATTGACTCCCAAAAGTTGGAGAGTCGACTCCCAAACCCCCAAAACCCCCAAATTTGGGAGTCAATCCCCCAAACCTGTCAGCAGGTTTGAAAGTTGGTTCCCCAACAAATTAAAAAAAAAAAAAACTGAAACCCCCGAAGGGGGAGGGAGTTGATGCCTCAAAACCCACTGGGTTTTGGGGGTCGTCAAACCAAAAACAGCCCCCAATGGCTGGGAGAGAATCCTCCTGGCCATTGAGAGCACACTCTCACGGAGGGAGTACACTCTCAACGGACAAGAGTGCATACCTCTTGGCCGTTGAGAGTGGACACTCTCAATGGCCAAGAGGCTTTAACTCAGCCATTGAGAGTGTACAGCCTCAACGGTTGAGAGAAAGCATCTCGGCCATTGAGAGTGTACACTCTCAATGACCGAGAGAAAGCCTCTTAGCCATTGAGAATGTACACTCTCAACAACCGAGTGGATTTCTCTTGGCCGTTGAGAATGTACACTCTCAACAACCGAGAGGCATTCTCTTGGTCATTGAGAGTGTACACTCTCAATGGCCGAGAGGATTTCTCTTGGTCGTTGAGGGTGCAAACCTCAATGACCGAGAGGGTTTCACCCTTGGCCATTGAGTTGTGCACCCTCGGGCCTCAACAGCCAAGAGAACACTTGTGGTTGTTGAGGTTTCACACCTCGAAGGCCAAGAGTGTACCTCTTGGGTACACTCTCCACTGTTGAGAGGTACACTCAATGGCCGTGTACCTCTCAGCGTCCAAGGGTGTACACCCTTGACAACCAAGAGGCTTTCTCTCGGCCGTTGAGAGTGTACACTCTCAACGGCCAAGAGGTATGCACTCTTGTCCGTTGAGAGTGTACTCCCTCCGTGAGAGTGTGCTCTCAATGGCCGGGAGGATTCCCTCCCGGCCGTTGGGGGCTGTTTTTGGTTTGACAACCCCCAAAACCCAGTGGGTTTTGAGGCATCAACTCCCTCCCCCTTTGGGGTTTCAGTTTTTTTTTTTTTTAATTTGTTGGGGATCCGACTCCCAAACCTGCTGACAGGTTTGGGGGATTGACTCCCAAATTCGGGGGTTTTGGGGGTTTGGGAGTCAGCTCTCCAACTTTTGGGAGTCGATTAGCCAAGCCTCATCAAATATAACCAAATCTACCATTATTTAATTGACTGGTTTGAAAAAATCCACCCTTTTTCAAACATGTTGGTTCTTCATAACCCCTTTTGGGTACCATTAACACAAAAGATTTTTGAGAAAAGTGACTGGTTTTTAATGGTGGATTTCCTATATTTGATACCCCCTATTATTGATGATATCCTTGATGTGCAATAATTTTACTGGCATGATCACTTCCTGATGTTTTGACTTGTTATGATCTTCTAGTTGGTATCTGTGGATGAATTCAACTGAGACACTCCTTGAGAATTTGAAATAACACTGAGGAAGAACTTCCTCCTTTTCCACCCCTTGCCAACAACACACCTCCACAACAAACTTGACCTACACTATGCATAATTCATACAAAATTGAAAAATCCCATGATTAATTCTTGACATATACACAGATGAAAGGGGAAGAGTACCTGAGAAGGTGACAAAAAATCTGGAATGAATTTGGAAACCTATTTCTAAATCCCTTCTCAACATGCTAAAAAAATTGGAATCTAATTTTTCCATATATATTTCCAAATTCTATCCAAAATTCTCATAGCTCCTTTCATTCTTTTTAGATAAGGATTTAATATTTTCCAAATTTGAATGGAAAATATTAATACCTCTTGACACTCATATACCTTGAAACAGTACTAAGAATTGATAACTGAGAGTAGAGTATTAGATATACTTCACCAGGAAAAAAACAATTCTCACCAGATGACAGGTGACATGATGTAACATTGATTGCAAGTCCAGTTTAGCTCCAGTGCTACTAAATTCCAACCACAATGGTCCCTATGTGTGCTAAAGGAAGCTGAACTACAGTTGAGCTGGGTACATAGTGGGTAGCATGCTGAATTAGCCTGATTTCACCTGTCACCAAGTGAGCATTGTTTTTTTCCTGGTGGGCTTGAAATAGTACGTTGATAATCGCACTCCCCCCCCCCTCCCTGCCCCTCCAAAAGGGGCGTGCAATTGCACCCGCCCGTCTCTGAGAGGCGGGTTTGATCACACTCCCCTTGGAAACAGGCTTCCAAGGGGCGGGCAGGAGAACCCGCCCCTCCAGAAGGGGCAGGAGGACTTTCCCGCCAATCAAGAATCAAGATATTCTTGGTTCTTGACTGGCGGGTTCTCTCTACTCTCAAAGGAGAGAGAGGCTCGATTACGTGAGCAAAACAGGGATGTTTTGCTCATGTAATCATTTGCTTTTGGACTTCTTGTCGGCAAAAAGACTCTTCTTCAAATTTATCTATGCTACAATCGTCTTGGTGCTGCTAATATTTTTTTCTTCTTTTTCAATCAATGATGCCAAAAAAACTTCCTTCAATGTTTTCCATTTCAGCAAAATCAAAAAAAGAAGAAAAGAAAACGACATCCATTACATTCCTCCTTTCTATTCTTACTGTGGTCCAAACGTGCAAGAATAAAAAAGTTTATTGCTTTTGGGAAAATAGAATTCAGACCTAGAAGTCGTTTAGAGTAGCATAATAAATTCAACAACTTGATGTATTTATGCTTATACTGATATAGGCGGCAAAGTCGCCCCTAGACACTAGTACTCATATCATGCAGAAACGATTAGATTTGCAGAGATACAAGTGAAATCTAGGGCTCGAAGACTTGTTTAAGCCATTGGTTCAGATGGCAATCGGAGTGGTGTTAATAAATTGTTGTTAATTTAACACCACTCCGAGTGCCATCTGTACCAATGGCTTGGACTTGATAAATTGTTGTCTTACGAGGTAGTTACCAGATTTGGACAGTGATAGAAGCAGGTGTATTAAACTGAGTAAAGCAAGGACAAAGCGCAGAAAACGTAACTTCCAGTCCACTTGTCTGTTTGCTCTTCAGGCTGCAGAGGTTGTCCAAGGGATACATACCAACAATCCGAGGTTGTTGTAGTCTTCTTGTTGGTCGCAAATACGTCAGCACCACAGAATAGGTGTTGGATATCGAGGAACTTATCCAAGATGGAGATGTTGCTGGAGACTGTGGCTGATTTACCTCGGTTCATAAGATGCCCAGGCTTAATGCACGACTCTCGTGCGGTCTCTAAAATCGGTTGATCAGGATTAGTAGCCATCAACGTTCCATCGTAATCGGTAGTAAACTTCCAGCATAGCATTATCGTCAAGGGTTGGGAAGCGGCCATTTGAAGAGCTTGTGGGTTGTGTCATGAGGCAACATCACCCCACTTGTCCCACATGCTACTCTGACTCAGACACCATCAATGCATTTTTCGGAACACATCAATCGACAGCTGGACCTATCGCAAACAGAAGCGGTGGAAAGCTGTGCTCTGTAATTTTTTGTCATAATCAACCTTGTCTATATCTGAAATCCAAACTAATAGTCAGCTTAAACTTGAATTTAAACATGAAGTCCATCAGATTCTTCACAGTATTTTTTATGATGAGCTTAGCACTGGAATTGCATGGCTTCACATGTCCTGATAAAGTTTTCGATAATCCTATGTGCGCTAAAAAGAAAAAGAATAAAACGTTCGAGAAGAGTAAGCAGAAAAATGTTTGAAAGAGCGTAAAAACGTAGGAACTGCGGGAAACTAACATAATTTGATTTTTTGGAATAGTTTCCGAACCCACTGGCAACACTGGCAATCTTAAGTGCACTGGCAAGAATAAATTCTGCTGTAAAAAAAAGAAGGCAAGGGCCTATCATTGTTCTTCCTTTAGGCTAGCTGATAACCTGAGATTTCTAATCATCTGATAATGTCAATGACAGGCGGATCTAACACCCAAAAACTTTGGCGGCAATTGTCAACCAGCACAACTAAGTGCTTGAGAGGTAGCCAAAGTAGTTGAGAATTTATCTAGAGTAGAGGTGGTAAGATGGAAAAAACACCAGATTAATATTCAAACTTTGTTGCCCAAAGTCCTGAATTCTCAAACTCCCAGCATGATCTGCTCTTGCCAATAATTAATAGTGATTTTTGTGAAAATAGACTTTTCAACCCAATTTTATTTGCAAATACTAAACTGATTTATATTTTAAGAATTCATACTATACTTGTGAAAAAACAAACAGATTCCAAATGTAAAGTATATCACATAATTTCACTTTTATTTACATAAGATATTTAGAAATATGAAGATTGAAGAAATATCTATGATCCCCAATCTGATGCCAAGCATAAAATGATATCAGGAATTTCATTCAACTAACCAGCTTTTTTTGCAATGTAGAGTATCATGAGCTTTCATGCTAAGCTTTGTGCAACTATTGAAATACAACAAAGGTTTCAGACACAAATTGAAAAAGTAAAATCATGTTTTACCCATAATATGTGGGTAGGATATCATGATGATGTGGAAATGTAGCTCCTGGGCCCTGAAGCTTTTCTTTTAAGTTTTCTTACAATGCTTTTGAGCTGATTCTGGAGGGTGAAAGGAACAATATCTGAAATCATGAAATATGTAGACCCATTTGTTTTGAATTTTTTACAAATAATTCTTTGCACAATTCAAAATTTTTTCCCCTTATTTTTATGAGAAATCTGTGCACACAAAGTTTTGTACCAGAAACAATTCCTTTCTCTCATAGCTCATTATTCCTTCTAGCCACATTAGATCCTACACTCCGCCACCATGTTACAACTTTTCCTGTTTGATGGACAAGCAAATTCCCATTGCTGTTGTATTGATGGCAGCAACAATGTTCATTGTCTAATGTCACTGTAATCAATGTGAATTTTGACCTCACTGTGGGAATGGCCTTTCACCCTGGTTCAAGTGGCACAACCCAGATAAACCCAGATACCTGAATTGATTTTTTGAATTAAAACCACTTGAACTAATGAAATTCACGGGGTGCAAAAGAATATTTTTGAATATTTTGTTTCCAGTGTCAGTATGGGCTCCTTGAAGGTGGTTGATTGGTATCATTAGACTAGAAGATCAGGTTTCATTTTTTCTTGAAATTTCCTTCCCCATGATGGTCAAGTACCTCCCAGCTCACCAATGATGTGTCCACTGCCCTCACAATGTATGCGTGCACCGTTCTCAATTCAGGCTGTCAATGGGCTTGGGCGCCCATGGGCTACCCACGCCTCGATGGGTCTCGGTATCTCATTGTCATGCCCCCCAGAGTCAAACTTTCAAAAAAGCAGACCAAGGAAACCCCCATGCGGCCATGCCCGCCTCAAATATATCTGACTCCGCTCTGCAAACCCCAACCTCGTTGGCCAAGAATAATACTCAGGCCAAAAAAAAAAAACTTTTTGATGGGCAGACCCGAGACCTGCCCCAAGCCCGCCCCGATCCCAACTGTCTCAAATCCGGTGCGGGTTTGGGCATTCTTTTTGGAATTGTGGCCCGGCCCGGCCCGCCCCACGCTCCAAGGCGGGGCGGGTTTGGTTTTTGGCCCCGAGCCCGGCCAATTGACAGCCTGATTCTCAATGAGTTGGTACGAGCCCTGGGTAAGGAGGCGGACTTCCCTAGCCGGTACAAGACAATATACCAGCTAGCGGTGGATGTCTCCGTGGCATGGTCTGTACCAGTTCGCCGAAGATGTATTCACCCTCGCTAAGTTGATATGGTTTGTACCCGCTCGACAAGAGGGCTATCTTTCTGGCGAGCTGGCACACCCTCTGTCCGCTCGCCGAGAGCCTCCACTTATTCGGCAAAGAGAATACCAATACCGCCTCAGCCAGCAGGTACAGACTCAAACAGCTCTTCCAGGAGGTAAATATCTCCCTTCAACAGCTACAAAAGGCTCGCTGAAGACGAGCTAGTATAGGTTGACAGGTACCAGCTCGGCGAGGAGAAAATTTGTTGGACGGCACGCAGCGACGCCCTTGAAATTGGAGTGGCGACCCACAAACGTCGCGCGACCCGCTCGACCCGCACACGGTCTGAGGGTCTTTGCTTCAATCCTTGGTTATTTGACTGCTTCTCTTTCAGAAAAAAATCTGTTTCTCAATTAAAAGAAGAACATAAGGGAGTCTGAATGTGGCACTCATGGCCTGCACAGTAAACGGAACTAATGGGGAAAGCACACATATCCAACTTTCATACGACTTGCTGATGTATGAATCAAGCATGCATGTCTGAACTCTGGAAGAATTGGAGCAAGGAACTATTGAGATGCACTGACAGGATCACTCTGATTGCTACGGAATCACTTTTTGAGGAGAGCGGTCTCCCTAATAGTGACTGATGATACTTACCCAACAGCTGTTTGGACGCCCAAAATCAAAGCCGAACATCGACTTTCGACATGAAACATTCCACAGATACAACAAGAAACAATTGTGCTCAACCACTGACGCGCCGGTGACTTGATGGCCGCGGCATTTGTGATAAACTATGTAGTGTGTATGACTTCTGAGTACGTCCTGTGTCTGTGTTTGAAATATCCATCATCGAGAGCTTTTGTATCACAATCTCGGCAGTCTCTTCTACAATATTGCTTCTTGGCTCATGGCTTCGATTAGTAAGCGCCAAGAGCAAATTTTCTGAGCAAGTTCTCGGGGTAAATATTATGTGAGCTTGTGCCGCTTGTCCATGGCAACTTCATTGGTACATATGACGACACCGGCTAGACTCAGCTGCAACACAAGAGAACTCTCGTCCATGTAAATACGATTTGCTTGAAAGACATTCTAGCGAATTTAAGCTTGCATGCAAGGTTTTATCTTGAGGTCATTCGACTGCACACCTCGGGATCGGCCTTACCCGTGCCGAGAGCCGTGATTACTTCTTGAATGTCTTCCAGTTCCTGATACATTCACGTCTATTCACGTCTTCTGGAATCCTACGTTCTGAAATTGGAAAGAAACACGCTATTACCATGCAGCGGCGTTAGTTCAAATTTAATATGTGTCACTTTCGAATTCTCTTCTGGCAAATCCAGCGTGTGCGCACAGGAAAAACTGGCCGGTCAGCGAGTCCGTGTTTTCCGCCGTAAAACACTCCTGTGGACGAGTGGAGGTGTAGGACCTGAAGTGGCCTGATGCATTGAGGAATACAAGTTCCGAATCTGATGGTTAAAAAGTGCCCGACAGTTCGTTTCATTACATTAACCTGCAGGCCCAAAACTTTATTTTTATGTGGCGCAGATCACACTGCATAGTCAGACCTCATTGAAAACGTTGAGGTCAAGCCAAACGAATACAATAGGGTCTATAGATCATGGACTGTGGATTTATTTCTTAATTTCTTCTCATAAAATCTTGCAGGTCGCCGATTCAGGGGATGTCAGTGGCAGCCACTTCTCCTGAAGTCCTTCACTGTCGGCCATGACTGCTCCAACATGGCTGCCCGCAGAATAATCGGAAAGATTTGTCTGTCCGGACCTCGAACCAGGATGCCGAACTGTCAGGCAGAACTTCTTTAGCGACGGGTCCGACTAAGTTGTTCGACCGGTTCCTTTAATCAGGGCATCATTTCCCAATTAGCGGAATGAACTAATGCGTGTGCCCCAGTGGAATCTGAGTCACCAGATGTTGTGCTTCGGCGTTTCCTTCGGCCCTCAAATCCTTAGGATTCAAAAAATTTCATCTGGGGCCTGGTCAGGAAAAGGCAGCTCCACTGTTGTGCACTTCGTCTCAACCGATCAATGATACACCATCAAAATCAGCACGGAAGTAAAATGCAGGAAATTGAATAAGCATGAAGTGCAGTGGATCACAACTTTTCACTCTGACGGTGTTCAGAAAAACCAACTAGATAAATAAGAATAACAAGAAAAGTGCAAGTACACGTTTATGTTGGTGTTTGCACTGAAAACTACTGAAAAACTATTCACACACTTTAGATTTGAGAAAGCTCCTTTAGCCGTGTCGATGTTCATAAGCATGATTGGGCTGCTAGGGCAAGATTTGAGTTTCACATAGCGTGAAAATCTTGTCTGCATCTGGATTTTCTTGTGTTTGCCTGAAAAAAAAGGATAGGCGCTGGTGTCAATCGACTCTATTTATTGTTTCCTACTGGATCCTGGAGAAAAACAAATTCCAGGCTGCAGAAGGGTATTGACTGGGCATTCCGGCCGTCCACGCTGATAAACAAGTGGAAAAATGCTGTGGTCAAACCAGAAATTTCACAAGGCATGAGGCTCGCCAGGAGCTTGCCTGAATAGATGGGCACAAAGTCTAATCAGGAGAAGTGTGCTAATTTCTTTCGGCTTCAAACAGGAAACTAGTAATCTAGCTTTAGGCAAGCAAATCAAAGCACTGGATATCACTAGAAATTGCACTTCAAGAAACTGCAGCTCGTCCTCAACCGCCAAGAAAACTACTCGGCGTTTAGCGCTTTGTCAGTCAAAATATTAATCATTAACCTATTTGCAGGCGTGCCTAACATTTTCGGGAGATGCTCCGGTAGGGATAAACTCACTGTTCTGATTTATGTAGATCAGACTATAACAGTTCATTTTGAATAAGTCAGGCCGTAGAGCTCAGTTCAGCTATCGTACAGCTTGTCCTTTCTTGCCACTTGCCGCGTGGCGGGCAGTTCCTACATATTTATATGAAAGATATGTGTATGTGCTCCTGGGGAATCTCCTCCTCTTCCCGAGTCCGCCTTAGGGAACGAGTACACTGTCCGGCTGAAGGTGTTTTTTTTTCGGAATCTTGTCAATCCATCTCCTCCATTGACATGACCAGGCCTTCTCTGACGACTATCATGCACACGCTAGCGTTTCTTATATCAGAAGACGAGAAACCAGCATAAAAATCCCAACCTTTAATTGTTCCTTTCAACTTTATTCCTCAAACATTTTACTAGCCCATCTGCGAACCATTGTGACCCTTTCAAATGGCAGAAATATTCAACTGAAGGACGTCAATTTACCGTTTATCTAGCAAAACAGTCTGCTCGATCATCTCGCCTCATCTCTCTTGCGCTTGCTTCAGTATTTAAAAACCCTGGTCCTAGGGGTCGATCATTTATCCTCCTTACAATTCTTACTATATCATTATGCTTTTTTCGAATATGATCACCTTTATATATCAAAACTCCATCTATGTGTATGATTATTTTCTCACTCAAAGAGTTCATCTTATGGAATCTGATGTCATACTCAGTCGATTCGGTCTAGTAGTTATCATTTCCTTTTATGTCATCCTTACTCTTCGATGCATTACCATTTATCTTTCCATCTTATCCCCAAACTTCTCATGGTTGTTGTTCAATACCTCTATCCACTCCTTTTTGAATACTGTTCAAAAATTTGTCCAAGGGTCAGGTTTTCTTCTTGATTTACCTATGTCATCTTCCTCCGAGTCTTACTTGGAAAGCGATCCGACAGTGTCCTCAAAGTTCAGAATCTTTATCCGATATTTTCATTTAGAACCAGAAGATGTTTCACTTAGAAAATTTCAAAATTGCTTCCATTTAATATGTAGAACATTTTCTTTAACATTACGTCCACAATTGTTTTTTGCCAAAGCTCAACATGCTGTGGCAAAAAAATCTCAACAAAGAGCATTATCATGCTTTACGGGTAGTTGGGACATTACCAGTAGATTTAAAACGGAACATAACTCTTCCACTAATTTCTGGAAGTACTCCCCGAGGATTTGGACGTGGCCTTGGATAGGATCGCTCTGCAGTTATACTCGGGACCCTCTTGGCTTTATTCAGACACAACATCGATCTCAGGTGAGCCCAAAGAAAAAAAAAAGCCATCAGCTTTAATAATAGGATACTCTTGACTTGATGTATTTTTGAGAGTCATGGGAGTTGAATAATTTCTGTCCTCTTTCTAAATCCCCAGGGTGATGTTTTCACAACGACCATTTTGGGATACAATTGTACCTTCATCCAGTCCAATGAATACATCCAATCCTTTGCTACTGCCACGCGGAAAGTTTTGGATGTAACAGCGGCCTACAAGCTTATTGCTGCACCGCTCATCGGAGAAGAGGCGTTTTTTGGTCAAACAAAGTATATGCACCAAGTAGTGCTTTCAAAATCGAGAACTGAGCTACTTCATCAGCGTCTTTGGGAGTTGGCGGAAGAGCTGCTTGAAATCAAATGGGCACAGTGTTTCTCAAGCGGTGATCAAACTGAAGTTAGAAATTGGCAAAAAATCGATCTTGGCCAAATGCTAGATTACGTCATTTTCGGGCTGGACGTATTCTTTCTGATCGGAGAAGAGATGGTTAACGTAAATCTGGACCGGATATCGCATCTGTTTAGAGTTATGGACTCGGATCTTAGCCTTTTGGGGATTCTATTACCGATGATTAGAGGTGGTCGCTGCCCACGGAAGGAGGCCAAGAATGAACTACTGGGGTTTTTGAAACGAGACGTGCAGAGGCGTATAGAGCGCCATGTGCAACACGCTGTCAATTCAGCTTTTGGATCGAGTCAGTCCGATTGTGCGGAGACTTGGCCTGACGGCCCCGAGGAAGATTCACAAGAGCTACCAGATATCCTGTTACGCTCAGAGCTCAAGGAATTGGATGAGGCGATACTCTTCGATTATCACCGGGGTGAAAGTTCAGCCATCAAACTAATCAATGAAAAGGTAGAATTTATCGCCATATTCATTTACGGGTTAGCCCTACTTCATTGATCACTTCCTCGTTTTTATCAGAAATGTACATGTGCTTAACTTGTTGGGATCGCGTTCTAGGTTCGTTTGGGCAGCCCAGACAAATTCAGCCGCTGCAACTATTGGGCTTGTACATGATATTCTACTTCACGATCAGTCTCAAGCCCTTTCAGATGAACACAGTCCATGTTTCTCTCATGCCGAGCAAATCCGGCGAGAATGCGCTTCTGCGGTCGTCAAAGACACTCCGAGCCCTGCACCATTTCTCGAAGACATGCCACACCTTGCCCATTGCCTCAACGAAACTCTGAGATTGCGTGCGACGGGAGCCTGGGTCAGACTGGCGGACAAGTCTTTCCATCTTTCGCCTCAAGGAAACCAGACATCAGGCGTCATCTGCCCTCCTGGATTCATCGTTCTTTCACCCATGCCAGTTTCCCTGAACCCCAGTACCTACCCAAATCCAAGCCGATGGGACCCTTATCGATATGAACGCGCACCTTTCATTTCCTCTCCTTCAGGCTCGAATAAAGATGCTGCTAGGCATATTCCAATCGATAAACAATACTTGGTCCCACCCACTACGCCATCAAGTCCCTACTTCGCCTCTTGGGGTTTAGGTCAGGGACATTGTCCTGGTAAACACTTGGCTTACAAGATGATTTCAATGACGGTTGCAAGATTTTTTGATAAATTCGAAGTTCGCCCAACTAAGGAGTATTTCGAAAACGCCAATTTCGAAGACGTTGCGGTAGCAGGGGTACAAAGATTAAAGAATGAATTCACGGTTCTAATTCGTAAGAGGGTTTGACTGGCGTGAATTGAATTGTGTAGAATCATAGTCAGAATGAAAGTAAACTGCTCGTTGGGCGTCGGATGATTTCTTATTTTTTTTCTTTTCTGTTTTCACCGTAGTTTCCATTACCAGAAGCAAATTCCATTGGGTGTATCAGTCAGAATATATGATTCTACTTTGTTGCACTTTCTGTGGTTACTACACTTACAAGACTGAATAATTATGCAAAAAAACCAAACGGCGCTGCCATACAAGTTTGTGAAGACTTTTTCAGCTCTCACAAAATTATCGACAGCGTGAATGCTTGACGCGTTCTTTTACCCTCCGTGGCTTTGAAATGTTTTCTCTCTTGTTTTTTTTTTTTTTTGGCTTTGTTGTTTGATTGGTTTTTTTTGATATAATACTACATATTCATCATTTCTAGAAAAGAAGTCCACAAAACTGGCATGTCGGGAATCGCTAGGGTGTATGGAAAGGAGGCTGTCGTAGTACTGATCGCCGCAACCAGTCTATGTCTCAAGCATTCAAGGCGCCTGAACATCAACCTTGTGTGGTAGATCTTCCTTCCCCAGTGTTAGGAGTAGGATGTAGCCCGCAGAGCTTCAAGGCTGATCTTGGACCAAATGGTGATTAATTTTGCTGGTACATATCAATTTACGCCAATATACGATCAAGCGAGGACGAGAATGTCGGCCAGTGGAAATTGTTCGAAGGGCAATCGAAGCCACAGCTTTTGGTGCGGGTGAAACTCGTCATAAGACATGCCAGCAATCCCGTCATCGCCAACTGGGGCGCTGGTTCTGAAGACTTGTTTCTCCAAACCAACTTGCAGAGGGGCGTGCGATGAAACCCGCCCTTCCAAGAGGGGCGGGGGCGTGGGGCTGGGCGGGGGAGGGGGGCATGGGGCGATTATCAACGAACGTTTGGGGAGCCAACTCCTAAAAATATATGTTTGGAAAAAATAGCTGGACAACTCTCAAAACTGGCCCGCAATTTGGAAGACAACAGGAATCTGTCAACCATTGAAATTTGGGGATTGTTCTTATAACCCCCTTTTTAGAGTGTAAAATCATCTATGTTTGATGTACATTCTGCAATCATGTGTGATGGGTTGAATCAGAGAGAAAAAGGATCAAAATTATATTTTTCAGGTGACTTTGGTAATCATCAAGGAGAAGCACTACAATAGTCACCCAACAGGCAGCCTGAAACAGTCGCCAACGTTGAGCTCCTTTGACAGGCCAGGCTGAAATCAAAAAAGAAATCAAAAAATTTGTGTCTGTGACCAGCCCAAACCTTGTTGGAATCCAGGCCTAACTAATATACTGACCAGAAAGTTAATGGAATACACCTGATTTAAAAGAAGCTAAAATCAAAACCAGAAATAAGAAAATAAACAATAATCAGAAAGAAAGAAGTAATAAACAAGGATTCAGAAACCACTTGGCCAGATTTATCAATGATAGCATTAGTATGGTTCAGTGAAGCAGAATCGGGCTGAATCCTAGCATATTGCAGCGGAATGCTCTGTGCAAACGCTACACACACAGGTCCCCAAGTTGTGTGCCCGCTAGGCTGTGCTCACACACTTTTTAGCAGCAATTTGGCTCTGTAGTTACTAGTGGCCCATAGTAAAGCAGGAACACACTAACAAGACTGCTAACACCAGACAATCTTTGTGCAAAAATGTATGACTACACTAACATTTTTTGGTGAAAAAGGGCAGTAGTGGCCCAGTGCTGATATAGAGAACAAAGCGAAAAGAAGATTATTTTTGGTGGGGCTTGGAAAAACGACTCCTAAAAATTAGTCGACGACTCCCGTTTCGGTCGGGAGTCGTTCTTCCAATTCCCCCAAAAAAAAGGGGAGTCGTCGTCCTAATTTCAATGGTGATTTTTTGATTTTTTTAATTAAAAAAATGGGAGTCGCCCTCCTAAAGGGCGGGAGTCGTCGTACCAATTTAGCCAAATATTTTTTATTTTTTTTCATTAAAAAAATTGGGAGTCGTCCGCCTAAAGGGCGGGAGTCGGCGCCCCAATTCAATATTTTAACCTTTTTTCTGCATTAAAAAAACGGGAGTCGTCCAACTCAAAACAGGAGTTGTCGACCTCTAGCGACCCTAAAAACTCAAAAAAAAGTTCAGCCACTGGGGCCCCGCCCCAAAGGCACTTTATCAATGATTAAAAATTAGATTCATTGAGAAAAACAAATTCAAGAAATAATTGAAATAAATTGATGAGATGTTGAGAAATGTAAACAAAAAAACAATGAGAAATGTAAGAAAAAAACAGGGATAAAAGAATTCAATTGATGAGAAATATAAGAAAAAAACACAGGGTAAAAAAGGACAGAGGAAAAAAAATAAAAACCAAAAAAAGACACAGGCAGAAAAAAAACTAGTAGTGGGTCATTGGATTTTGAATCTTCCTCCCTACAGTCAATGGGTGTGGAGCGGCGACTCCTGCGTGGGAGAAGAAACAAGGTTTCTTCTCCCCAGCCGACTCCTAGGTATTTTGCAACGACTCCTGCAAGAAGAAAAAAAAAGTCCAGTGGACGATTGGGCCATCGACTCCCTTTCCGTCTTGGGTAATTGGCCTGACGACTCCCGAGGAAAAAAAAGATTATCAAAAAAATTAAAGATCAAATTTGGGAGGCCGACTCCCGCCCTTTAGGCGGACGACTCCCAATTTTTTTAATGAAAAAAAAATAAAAAATATTTGGCTAAATTGGTACGACGACTCCCGCCCTTTAGGTGGGCGACTCCCTTTTTTTTAATTAAAAAAATTAAAAAATCACCATTGAAATTAGGACGACGACTCCCCTTTTTTTTGGGGGAATTGGAAGAACGACTCCCGTTCGACGACCTCCCAACCAAAACGGGAGTCGTCGACGAATTTTTAGGAGTCGTTTTTCCAAGCCCCTTTTTGGTGATCAACTTAAATGTAAAGAAAAACTGATAGACAAAATAATGAGACAGACTATCAAAAAATAAAGGTGATTAAGAACAAAAGGTTAGATTGCTCACTTCTTGCCAAATAGTGAGAGACTAGTAACAACAGCAAACTTAACACAACTCCAATCCTTCTTTGGCTGGGTGTTGCAAAGAGATCCTCCAAAGGAGGGAATTGAATGCCAAAAAACATTTCCCGTGTGAGCAGGATACAAGGTTTTGGTGCTGGCAGCCTTGTATGCATCTTCACACCTTCAATATTTCACACATCCATTCCAGGATCTGACGGATTGAAGATCTGCCTCTTCTTGGTTTTTTTTCTATTTTTTCATGACAAAAAGTTGTTTGATTCTCGCAAAAAAAATTGGATTGATGTTCATGATTTTGGACTTTGATTTGCAAATTTGGTAGAGAGCCTTGAGTGCACTCTCACTATAAGCATATTTCATGCCTGAAAAATGAAAAATTGACTTATTTTTGAAAGAAAATTGGTATGGAAAAAAAATATACAGAAAATAAAGAAATATTAAACATATGTGAGAGAATACATGAAGAAAAAAAACAATATTTCAAGATAATGGATGGGGAATCCAAAGGAGAAAGTGTTAAAAAGAGCCTCCAAACAACGGTGAAACAGATCCGATCTGATACGGTATCGGCCAATTTATCGGATTGGATCGATTTTTCGATACCAGGTATCGAAAAAAAAGGGATCAGATTGCTAAGGGTGATCTGATCCCATGGTATCGTATCGAAATGGTATCGGATCGGGATCGGGATCACATTGCAATCCCGATCCGGTCTCGATCCGGAACCCAAACGCTGCGGGCTGTATGCCTTACACTTGGGTATCATCCAAACTGTAAGCAATCTGATCCCCGGATCGGTATTTATCGGGGATCGGATCGAAAATGGACCCAATACCAGGTATCGGTATTGGATCGCTCCACCCGATCCCAGTGTCCAATACATTGGGATTGGATTGGGTGGAGCGATCCGATACCAATACCCGGTATCGGGTCCATTTTTGATCCGATCCCCAATAAATACCAATACGGGGATCGGATCTGTTACATCCTTGCTCCAAATTGCATCCCTCTCACACCAACTTTGAGTTTTAAATTATAAGCCTCTTTGGTGAGACTGGGCTGCCACCCAGACCTGCCCACACAGCACTCTCACCACAAGAGGATTAGTTCAGGCCCCGTTTGGCCGCAAATTGTGATTTTTGATTTGGCAAAGGTTTGGCGCGGATATGGACGGTGCAATATAAAACAATATGAGATTTTTGCACAAACTCCCACCAAATCTTGACTCAAAATTACAAATTACGGATGGCCAAACGGGGACTCAGCTTGTAACAACGGTGGGCAGCTATGCTTGCTCTAGCTGTTAGCATAGCAGAGCTACACTACCACTGTTGGGTTTTTCTAGTAGCAGTCAATGTTTCTCCACTACTTCTGATGCCACTACAATCCCTAGTAAAGGAAGGGACCAAAACCAGCACTAGAAGCTTTACTTGTGCGAAAAATCCCACTACTTGCGCAGATAATGCTGTTAGTACCCATTAGCATAGCATAGTGGTCTGCAGTAGTGCTATCTGCTAACAGACATGGGAGGAAACAACAGAATGCTAAACTGTTTTTAGCATCTAATCACTGGTATTGATTTGAGCCAATATCAGAGAATAATTAGATTGATTTCTTTTAGAGTTGAGTCAACAAAATCAGAGCTTGATACGGGGTTAACTGAATGGAATTAAGCTTAGACAAAAGGAATGGTGGAGGTTGATTTAGAGAACACAAACATAATTTTTTCACCATCAATCAAGAATACTGTGCTTTGGAGGTTTCATTTTTTTAAAAAAAAAAGTTTATAGACTCTCATGGACAACTATTCAGCCCACACATATAATTCAGAGCCACAAATAGTACAGAAACGGATTGCTTGCGGTTCAACTTCAAAGAATGCGGAAAGCCATGTATATGTACAAGCTGTGGATCTAAATCTAGATACGCTTACAATAATTTCTGAGCCCCCCAAAAACATTCCCAGTGTTAGTACGATATTGATAGGTGAAAAGAAACAAAGAATTTCAGGAAGGTGTTTTTTTGACTGACCATTATGAGGGGTAGTTGACGATGATCGATGTACACGCATTTCACGCCGATAGCCTCACAAGCCTCGAGAAGCTTTGGTGGAGCAGAGTAATCTGATTTGGCGCTCATGAAGACGAGTTTTTTCAAATAGGGAAGGTTCGCAAATGGGTTGCCGACAAACTTGGGCTCGCACTCGTCGAAGGCTGCCTGGGCATCGATAGCCAAGATCTCGATTGGAGACTGTGTAAAGACTTGGTAGGCCAGGAAATTGGTGATGGAATTAATCCAGTAGTCGATGGCGAGCACGCGTAAATTGGGGAAGATGAAGTCCAGACTATCTTTGAGGAGGTGGGAGGAAGTTAAAGAGAGAGCTTCCAAGGTATATTGAAGGTTCTCGTAAACCCGTCGAAGCCCTGGCAGCTCGATCCCGAACTGGCCCATCATCTGCTCGAACATATTCACGCCGAACTCGGCCATCCCGAATATCTCATCTGCATTTATCCCCGGCCCATTATCCCGAACCGAAAGCGCTTTAAGACTAGGCTTGAATGCAGTCGAAAGACGCAAGATGTCTGTTGGACGATGCAAGACCTGAGTGACATCGAGATGAGTGATCTCAGGGTATGGCTTGTCTTCCCAGAGGCCAGGTGCAGGTTCATAAGGTAATGAGATCTGTGTACCCAGAACTAGCGACTTCAAGCCCTTAGCTGCGACTATTAAATCGTTGAAAAACTGCGGGTCGGTGGCCGGAAATTGTCGATCGCCAGACTGAGTGGAAGAGATGTTGAGTTGAAGATCGCGCAGGTTTTTGAGCCGGCCAATGGCTTCGATGTCTTCGATCGGAAGCCAAAGATAATCGACGAATTGGAGGTCGAGGGTGACGACCGAGTCGGCGAATAGCTCGAGCAAGATTTCCACGAGCTCCCAATCGATCATGTCTTGTGTGCCATTCTTAGGCGGAGGCTGCCGAGCCCAGATCCGGTCGATCACCAAGTGCTGGCACTTTGGGCGAGGAAGCGTTTCTGAACGGCACCACATGTGCTTAGCGAATTCCATCGATCGGGAAGCGCTACTGAACTTCAACCCGCGGTAGAGATGATGGGGATATAACCACTCGGCCCATGCTGGACAAACCAGTCTCAAGCAGCACGCCGTACTGGCTGCCAGGGTATTGGGATGTTTGACTTCAAGCCATTCGGTAGGCGTTGCGATGAGGTGGGCGTAGATGAGCTCCACTGTTTCCCTGGGGAGATCTAGAATTGTAGTAGGCATTCCTGTTCTATGTGACACAAACCCATCATCCATCAACAAATATGTACTCCTGGGTGCTTCGTGGAAATGCTCAAGCAGAGTACACTCACGTGCGGTTGATCTAAAAGAAGCAGGGTTGTCCTCTTAGAGACTGGCAAGCGTATCGAATGAAAGCTGTTAATCAACGAGCGGCTTGAAGTTGTGTGGTTGGCTCAGGCTGCACCCGCACCAGTGGGATATATAATGTACCGCTTATCAGCAGCTGACGAAATATTTGGCTACAACTCCGACAAGTTGTCAAGATACATACATAAATTCATGTGCAGGATTGTTGATGATGCCGTCACTGAAAGCTCGCTCGGCATGGGGGGATGACGGGAATCTGCATGATGTTTCCTTTTCATGTGGCACTGGGGCATACATATTTTTGGCGCCCCATTCTGTTGACGGTGGTTTTTGAGAGCCAAGGAGACCTTGTGGGGCTCCAGTTTTTTGCTCAGAACGTCGAACCCGTGACCAACAGCTGACTTGACCAAGTCGCTCTGAATGTAAAGGGGGGGATACCGTGCATAACTATCAGGTTGGAATGGGTTTGAACTTCAAGGCCCCAGGTGCAAGGCATGAGAACCGCAAGGAGAGGAGGACCGTAAAACTTGAAGAGGATGGTACGCTCGAGGATTATAGAACCTGAGGGGTGAGTCAGTATTTTACATAAGAAAAAACATAGTCATGTGCCTTCTCCATGTCTGTGCAGTTGCCCGGATGATAACCTTATCTATTATCTCGCTTCCCGCTTCGGAAAATCAATTCATTATTTTTACGAAAAAACAACTGGACAGTGTCCAAGATTATAATACTGTTCTATAGACAAGAAATAATGCCAGTCTCTACTCATCACCCAATTCCTTGTCTGTTTCTTTACCAATTATTATCTCTCTAAAATGAGTCTGTCTCTATTCCAAATATAGAACCATGGAATAGAGAGAAACTTGATCCAGATAGAACATATATCAGTCAATTGATTAAAACACGATCAAGAATAAGGAAAAAAGGGGGGGGGATCAAAAATCGATCGAATCGGCCAAAGAAAACAAAGTAGAAATCTTATGTTGGATGGAAGGAGGCGTATCTAATTCATCGAACTTGATCTCTACAATCACTCCATTCTTATAAGTGACTTCAACCTGTAACAAAAAAAAACCTCCTTTGAATAATCAACTACAATAGAGTGAAAATAGGTAAAAATGAGCCAAGACTTACAGGGATGGTTTCACTCTGATGATCATCATCATCACTAGCAATCTCGAATAGCCGGGTGAATTGAGGGGTTTGTCCATAGATCCAATTCCATGACTGGATGATCAATACAAATAAGCGTCATGATGAGCTCATCCATTTCTTTTCATCATTTCAAGTATAGCGAATCGAAAGTGAGAAAAGGAAGGGAATGTATTCATGAAACAAAACATACCTTTAATTCATCGTATCCAGCTCGGACGAACGGATTATTTTCCAATTCGGATTCGCCGATGATCTTGATTGAAGTGCGACCACGAACCAACCAAACCAAGAGAGGACCAAGTGTGAATGAAGAGGTTTTAGAGAGAAAGAAAAGTGTGTGAGATATATACCTGAGGAGACACGGGTTGATGTTCCAATGCGGGATAATAATGTTTGGAGAATGCGAGGGAAAGGTTGTGAACGAAGCGGAGATGGTTGATGTCTTGAGTGACCGAATCGACGAGACTAGTGACTGGGGAACGAACAGACCCGACCGCTTTCGAATCCACGATTTTCTAACCAGAGAAAAAAAAAAGAAGATAAGGGGATGAGAATGCTTGTATAGATAATCGAGCAAAGATGCTAAGGGTGAGCGAAATGGCTTGCGATGTTGGGGGTCGGACGTAGGGCGCCCTTGAGTTGAGCCAGGTTGGAACTGATCAACATCGTCCCATGATGGTAGGCCCTTTTGTTGGTGATCCGGAACGCGGATCCAGAGACCTGATTTGACACAGTTCATTTTTCTTCTTCTTATGAACATATCATAGAGCGGAAATCTACGGTACCTTTCGATCGCCCACACAGACATCATATCGGTCCGTCACATTCACCCGATCGATCCCCATGTCCTCGACCGCCTTCGCAACCAATCTCGCATTCGTTTGTCGCTCGAATTGGTCCCGAGGTAGCATCACCGAATAGTTCGTGTTGCCTTCATCCTGCATCCAGTCCATCCAGGCTATCGTCAACCAATTGCACTCCCTCCCCCTTTTTTTGGGGTGTATATGTGACTGACATGATAGACTGTTCCTCCTCCACTACGTCTTCTCACTAATGATATCCCCCGTCGATCTAGTTCTTCTAGATTTGATTCTTGCCATGGATTCTAGAGTAGAGTGAGACGATTGGTTTAATTTATTTTTTTACATTTTATTGATTTATTTCTTTCTTTCAGTTGAGTAGGACTGGATCGGAAACCGACCTGATTCCGTCCAATGATCACGCTCTTCCGGTTTCGATAGATGAACAAGATCGGCCTATGGACCTCTACCTTCCTAAACAAACTTGAAAAATCCGATCTCTTCAGAAATCCACAAATCAACTTCCAAAAAAAAGACTTACTACTCTTCAATAGATAGATTCAGATAAGGATCTAAGGAGGAAGAAGTCCAAATGATCGGATGATGCAAGCCTGCTGACTATCCTAAAACGACAAAAAAGAAGATGCAAGCAGGGAGCCATCGACCAGGTTAGTATATGTATCAGGATGGTTTTACTCGAGATGGCACTTAACTGGTGGAAGGGTAGCACACCATCGTTTGATGGTCTCATTAGATCTCAGACAGACTCCTCGCAGAGCACCGGCCATCGTCGGATTGCTAGGATGGGAAAGTCAACGGAGAAGTACAGAGAAGGGTGATTGCCCATTTTGTAATGCTCGGGTATATACGGGGACCCCGTGCTACCCCTGGGGGTATCGGGTGGGACCACAAACCTTAAAAAGCCCAAGCACCACTTCAGCAGCAACAGCCTGGCCCATTTCCTGGAAACACTTGAAGGAAAACAAGTTATTATGACTGGAACTGGTAAGATAGATAAGCTTGAGTACTCTGCTAAAACAAACAGTCCTCCAATATCATGTGGGATGTTCTGACCTCTGACGACCTGTAACCCTCGAAAAAAAAAAACCACGGAAAACAATAGTCTTGGCACCACCGATCAACTTCCTCAAGGTTTGTGTGTTTGCTGCCCCTTAACGATGTTGTTGATGATCTGTTGGAATATCGTGGATGTACTCACCTTTTGTTCCCTTTCGGTCCTCGTTCCGCAGTGGATTCAAGAGAATGGCGACAAACTTAAACCTCCCGTGAATAAGCTTCTCCTTCTCTTTTCTTATATCTCTGGGGTCATCTCGCTTATTGTACTTCTCTCCCCCTTTTGATATTCACTTCTTGCTTTCTTGTTTAGGTTAACAATTTTTGTATCTATGATGGTCAGTCCCCTCAACCATCTATTCCTTTTTTCTTTTTGTCGACAATCATGCATCTTACTGAATATCTCCTGGCTTTGGCAAAACAAAAAAACGCCAAACAAAATCCTTCAGGACATGACTTGTACGCCCACATTTTATCCCCATCAACCAAAAAAGAGAGAAAAAGAAGACACGATAGAATTCCGAGTGAAAACAATTTTACATGAGTATGAATATTTTATGATTTTTTTTTGTGAAAGGATAGTATAACAATGGTTGTAGGAGGCCCGAACGCACGAAATGATTACCATGTAAACGAGACGGAGGAATGGTTTTACCAGATCAAAGGCGACATGTTGCTGAAAGTGATTAGTCAGAATCAATTCCAGGACATTTTCATTCGAGAGGGAGAGATGTTCTTGTTACCTCGTTTGTCCCTCCTTCCCTCCCTCCTGTTTCTTTTTCTGGTCGCTTGCGTTCTAATTCTGATCACGTTTTATTTCTCTCTGCGGCGTCTATTTTTGTGTAGCTAATACTCCTCACAATCCATGTCGGTTTGCTGATACTATTGGTCTCGTTATGGAGCGTAAACGGCCTAAAGATTCAATCGGTCAGTTTATTTATTTGTTTTACATTTCATTCGCTGAGCAAAACAAATCTGAATTGACATGGGATCGTATGGACAGATCGTCTGCGCTGGTTCTGTCCGAACACAGAGGCTCATGCGGAGCCTCACTTAGTCAGAGAGGTCGCGTTCCATTGCACCGATCTAGGCACCCAACTCAAACCTTTCATCACCGTCAGTCCGCCTCCTACACTCGCTTTTTGTGTGGAAAACTCAGCTATCAAGTCATCTGATGCTTACAATCCTCGTATTGTCAATTGTTATTTTCTCTAGGAATGGATGGAAAATGAAGATTTAAGGAAATGTTCCAATTGTGGCACAACCGCTCCCCCATCTTAAAAAAACAAAAACCCACACATTCCATGGAAAATTAAATATAGAGACCAACCATCCCGAGAGCAATGGTCCAACATCATCACCAACATCTCGATCAATTAACCATCATCATCGGTGGTCAAACTTGTTGTACACCTCATCTTTTTCATATAAATTTAGGAGGGAATGTATGTTAGAAACAAAACAACAAGGTGTAATAGGAAAATCCGGTATAGATCCCATATTTAACAAAAGTCCCCCTCCTCTGATGTGAGCAAACACCGACATGGGGACTTGGAATGGTGCCAGTGGCCTCGTCGGTCCCTGTCGTATTGACGGCTTGATCCGTACATAGGCTAATTTTTCTGGGGCCTGAATTACTCATGTCAATGTCTTGGGTCTGTCCTATCAGCACCTTGTCAGGGTCATATTTCTGGGTCAGGATCTCAGCTTTTATGAGCACTCAAAACATCTGGTGGGTTGCTTTTTTTTTTCTTGCGGGATGCAGTCCATAGAAACAAGTTCATAACCTCACTGTAAAAAAAAGTGAAGAAACACAAATGGAAGCATTATCCTGCAACCTCATAAACTGGTAAATCATTCAAAAGCTCATCAAGCAGCCAGTCATTCACTGGTGAGTCGCACTTCAGGCTAGTGTTATTTTTTTTTTTTTTTGCAAAAATTATGAATGCAGGAAACTACACAATAAAGACCCTCCCTGAAGGATGTTTCTTTAGGATTGGAATGTATGTATGTTTGAGATTAAAGAGAGGAAGAAATCCTGGACATGTTGGGTTTTTAGCTGAGAACCAAAATACATGATGGCCTATAAAATCTACAGAATTTGTTATGAAGGTCTTGCCATACCACTGACATATCCTTCAACAGTCATCATGGCTCCAGTTCATTCAAAATTTTGAGAGAAACCCCCAAATATCTAGCACATGTAGATGCAACTAAAAGCTCATCTATCTTGATTCCATGAATCAGATTGAATTCAAGGGTTTTCTCCAGAAGATTAACTGACCACAGCTGATCAGGAATTCTTTAATTCCATGTGGCAAAAGAGGATGGGGTCTTGTGGTGACATTCAAGCCATGTTTTCATTAGTTTTTGTTACTGATGTCTTATTATGGTGGGTCTAATATTGACAACTGCTGTGTTGATTGCTAGCCAGCCCCATGTATGAACCTTGGGAATGGGATGCTATGGCTTGACTGGGGTGATCATCACAGTGTTTCTTGAGTGCAAGTGCTTTTGGGCAATCCTCTTCCTGAAACATCATGTGATGATCATTTCAGGAATAGCAGTAACCCAGGACCGCTGCCCAGAACTCTTTGCATGGGCCATGAAGCCTGTCACCAGAACAGCTATGGGAGAGGTCACATTTTGTGCCATTTGCATTGTAAGAGCATCTCCACTGCAGGTGGTAAACATAGGATTTACCACCCGCGTTCCAGAGTTGCCACTTGAAATCAGGCAGGTGCGCCACCGCAAAGTGGTAAACCTGCACTGAGATTGAATGAGAGATATTTGCATGTGAACGGGTTGCAATTATGGGGGTTTCACAGGTTGGAATTATGGTTTCACAAATCTGAGGGAGGTACCAGGGGCGGTACAGAGGTGGTAGATATACAACCTCGGTACATTTTTTGGACCGAAAATGTTGTTGACAACCCTGTATACCACCCGCGGTGGCCGGGTGTTTTGGGAGTTGGGGTGGTAAATGGGGCTTACCACCCCAATATATCTCCCGCGTTGGAGATTCTCTAAACCTCCATATTCCTCTCTTCAGGGCAGCACCAACAAGGACATTCCCATTTTGAGATCATTCCATTTGCAAGGTTAAAAGTCAGGTGTAATGTCAGGGCAATTAGCAGTCCAGTGAAACACATCTTCATTGTGTGTAGGGCAATGTTTTGTGTTCAATGGGGATTGAACAGAGGAGAATCCAGGGTTTTGAATGTGATTCAATGGCTCCAAGAGAACAAATAATCCCACTCAGCTAAAGGGGATGGAGATGTGTGCCAATTTATAACAATGTAAACCTTCTGTGAAGATCACTATTGATTTGTGCCATTTTGCTCAATCTTTTGGAAGATTCTTTTTGGTTGGGTATACACTAGTCTGTGCATGTGTCCTTTCTGATCTTGATTTGAGAACTTGATTTTCTTACATGATGGGAGAATGAAAGTCTTAGGGGGGAAAAATATTTTATTTTTGAAATAAATATGTAGCAGTAACAGAACTTCAATAGAACAATTATTTCTTCATAATAGATTCTTGTTGGGAAGATTTTCATAAATTCCATTCACATTACAATATGAAGGTACCCACTGATTTATTTTTTTCTGGAAAATGATATCTTACCGGCTTTGTGAGCTCAATCAATGTATATTGAGTCTCCACAGTCTCTAATGAAAATTTGGAGATTTTCATGAGACAATCTTTGTTTCTTTCCATGTGTAAGTTTTTGCTCCCATCAGATGATTAGAAAAATTAGGCATTCCAGGCTGAGAAACCCAGCTTTATATAAAGTGAGTATTTGTTTACCAGTGGGTACACCATTCATCTTGCAATTATAAATTAAATGCCACAAAGGAGAAAGTATAAGAAAGCCTTTTGCATCTGGGAAACCCCCTGCATAAATTTCATTGCACTAGTAGCACCAGGAAATATCTGAGGGCAGTAGGTGTCAGGTGACATGAAGTGACATATGTTACAACACCATTGTTACTCTGGTGCTTGTCTGCTCAAATGACAATTTGCCCTTTGTGGTCATCAGGGAGTCCCAACCCTTTGACTTTGAAGTAACACTGGAATAAAGGCAGGAGTTAGCTTCATGTCACCTGACATGTACTGCCCTCAAATTTTTCATGGTGTAGTATGGTGTGAAGTGTGCAAGCATCATGTGTAGGGCACAGGGGGGTTGAAGGTGGATAGCTAATTTTGATGTATTGAGGGGCCTTGTTTTCAATTTTGTTTGAACTCAAAGCTATCACTTGTATCTTGGGAAGATATTGTAAGTGTTATTAAGTGATTCACTTAAGAACACTTACAATATCTTCCCAAGATGCCTACAATATAAACAGTTATGTTGCAACTTGCTCATGTTGGTACCTGACTTCTTGGTCCATATACCATGGGTACAGCCCCTTGACAGAAAAAAATGAACCCTTTAATTGGAGTCTAGAGGGCAAACCAATGGACTTGAATTTATACTTCCTGGTGAAACTGTGGAGAATTAGCTCTAAAGAATGATTCTGAAAAAATGGATAGGAAAATGTTTTGTAAATGTTTTGTATTTTTTTCCCCATTTTCTGATTTTTTTTGGTATTTTTCAATCATTTTTCAAAGTAGCTCAGAAAATTATGATCAACACAATTGCATGTGAAAAGAATGATTATAAATTAAAAATTGAGAAAAATCATTGATCCAAAGGTTTGAGAGCTGAAGAAGTTGCATTGAGATTGAAATTGAATTCAATTTCGGTGCCTGATTGCAGGGTTGGTCTGGTGGATGACACAATCCAAACATGCTTAAAAAAGCTGTTGATCAATTTTTTTTTAATTTTTCATTTATAATCATTCTTTTCACATGCAACTGTGTTGATCATAATTTTCTGGGCTACTTTGAAAAATGATTGAAAAATACCAAAAAAATCAGATAATGGGGAAAAATATACAACATTTTTACAAAATATTGTCCTATCCCATTTGTCAGAATCATTCTTTAGAACTCATTCTCCACAGTTTCACCAGTAGGCACAAATTCAAGTCTATTGGTTTGCCCTCTAGACTCCAATTGAAGGGTTCCATTTTTTCTGTCAAGGGGCTGTACATGAAGATCTGAGATTCTGGAGGTATGAAAAGTAAATGAGGGAGTGTACACTCATCAAGACAATTGCTAAATAGGTCAGGATGAAACTGACCCAAATCAAGTGCAAGGGTCTGTCAAACTAACAAGAAAGGGGTCACTACCCAGTTTGCATTTCGACTTAAAGGTGACCAAATTTTCTTGCTTGAAATGTATGTTTGTGAGTTGGGAGCGTGAAATGTACCACAATTGCCTCTTATGGCTTCTGAGAACAGTTCAAGATTGGAGCCAAGTCTTACTGTCTTAGGAACCCTTACCACTTGGGATGGCCACTTGAGAGCACCCACAGTCCATACATGTACAAATTTCAAACATCAAGGTTTAAACCTACTCCCAAATAGTAACTCACATTCAAGTTGGACAAAGTGCTCTATGATTGTAATCTAGGGAGGGCTGTTACTGTTAGTGAGTCACACTGACAGGATCATAGTAGTGTAACGTGTTGCGATGTTAAATCCTGAGAGGAGATCCAGCCCGACATCAGCAATAACGAGAGATGGCGCATTGTCATTGGTGAGCTCAAGCTGACAGGGCAACCATTACTTCATTTTCTACCCCGCACGCTCCGAGCCCGACACTGTGTTTTTCCTAATTAGGGATACCGGGCTGCTTACCAGCAAGTGTCGAAACCTAGGATCTCTGAGAGTCACCAAATCGTCGGTGTTTCAGCCGACTTGACGGAGGCACATGATGAGTTTGGATGAGGTCGGTTGATGGTATCGGTTGCCAGTCTGTCAGTACTGACTGGGGTTGGTATACAACATTGCTTACCAACTGCATCGTGTTCTCTCGGCACTCGGTGTCGGAAACGGCGACCCGCCCTCGGCTGCCGAGAAACTGAAGAACCATTAAAATCTTTCAAATCTCCCGCTGGACGTGTTTGTTGGTATGGATCTCAGCTAAGGTCGATTATATATACTCCACATGTTCCTCTCTGTCATCTTATCCCAAACAGCTTAAAACACCATACCTATCTTTCAGTATAAAGATATCTTCAATCCCTTCCTCACTTATCACACTCCTAAAATCCTGTATATATCCTCTGTCACAAGAAGGCGTGTTTATACATATACAACACTTTCATAACCAACCTCAATTCTTTACTTCTGCGGATTTCTTTGCACTCATTTCAAGCCCTCTAGAGCAGTAGCTACAACTTCTTTTGTCCACCTACATTCAGACATAAGATTGCTCACTCGAGTTTTAGAGAGTCAGTCTTTCTGTTTGTCTAGGCATCCTCAGAGGAGCTATTTTTCTGAATTCCTCTGTGCATCCTTTTTTTCAGGCTTGTGCTACTTCAAATTTTGTCCGTGAATTCAATCAATCATGTTGCCAATTTGGAAAGCAACGGTGAGTGAATTTATACAAGAGCAATACGCTGTAATTTGTACTCATATGCTTAGCCGCCCACTTATGCTGTCTTTTCAATAGATTTTTGAGGGTCTAGGAAGCATGTGTTTTGTTTGGGTGGTGGGAGCATCTTCGACGTCGCTTGGCGCAGGGGATAGCATTGGAACCGGCTTAACTTTAGGGATAATTTACGCCTTAACGACATCACTTTCAATGTATGCACTCGGCCCGTTGAGTGGAGGACACATCAATCCATTCATCACATTGGCCACCATGGCTTCCGGCAAATTGCATCTCGTCCGAGGTGCAGCCTATGTTGTGTCGCATATCTTGGGCTCTATGGCTGGCGGCGCTCTCGTCGCTGCCGCATTAGGTCCCGGGGCCCGAAATACCTCTAATGGAGGTTGCATCTTGAGGTCCGAAGATACTTTCAACCTTAAGCAAGCTTTTGCTTTGGAATTCATGGCCACCTTGATGCTGATGTTACTTCTCCATGGTCAGTCTCCCCACCCGTTGTCTGTTTTTGCCCAAAAGGTTGGACAATCAGGTCTTTTAATATCACACTGCATCTTATTTTTCTCGTTCCAATAAATCATAGGTACTGGACTCGATCGCAAGCAAACCAGAAACCATGGAAATCGACTAGCCCCTATGCTGTTTGGATTATCAGTCGGGCTCATGTGAGTAGAATTCTTCCAAGGGCTTGAAATTATCAAGATATTGTTTTTTTCGCTGTTCTAGTTTCACATCCTTCACTTTTCTTATTCAAAACGACCACACTAATCTTTGATCTTGTTTAATTGCAGAGCTTATGCCACCTCCGGATTTGCCAATACTCATGCCTACATTGGCTCATCTGGTTATCCCAACATCTGCTTTGGTTTAGCAGCTGGAATCATGCAGTTTCAATCCTGTGAGTTATCAAATACTGAAATCAAACCTTTCCTAGCATATATCTCTTGAGTCCTCTGCCAAAGTTTAATGTCAGTTTTAATATTGACATTTTTATTTATTTTTATATCCAAAGCCCACTGGGTCTTTTGGGTTCCAGGTTTTGTTGCGGTTGGTTTATTTGGATTAGCTTACAGATTCTTGAACCCCTATGAAGATGTAGAGCAGGAAGTTGGTGGTTTGTCAAAAAATGCTGTCTATGGCAACCAGTTTCAGAGAGATACACTGAATCAAAATGTCATGGCAACAGTGGAGACTGATATCAAGAGTGTCAACAGCTGCCATGTCTGATTTTCTCCTTCCTTTAAAGCTTAGATCAAATAAATCCTTAAAGATCACAGAAAATAAGATACCTGCCAATGTAACGGACATATCCATTTTGCTCTAAAGAGAATTTACCACAAAGTTCACAATTTTACTTTGAATTAAATGTCCTGTCATTTTCATTTCCACACTTTTTTTTCTTGGTTTCACATTTTCAACATGCTCAGTTTTTGTGTATTGTTTAGAAACACAGTTTTAGATTTTCTTTACTACTTCCAGAAAGTTTTATGTACTAGTCTGAAACAATGCCTAACTCAAGAAGAAGAATTTTGTTTTTAAAAATCTGAAATATGGTTATTTGAGGTAACTGCCAAAGCACCTAATTGCATCCAGCTCAACACAAGCCTGTCCATTTGTTGGGCCTGGTAATGCCTGGCTGGCGCAAAGCACCCCTTGCAAAGAAAGCCTCCAAAGGATGGGCTTGAAACTTATTTCAGAAGTTTGGGTTGAGAACTGGGGACTGTTTGGTTGGGATTTTGTTCCTTTGTATTTTCATCCCCTTCCCCACTGGAAATCCAGATGCCCTTTGCATTCTGAGACTTGTATCCTCTTTGCCCATCTTTTGGTCAGACTCCCAGTCCCACAAGTGAAGAAATCCCTGGTGTAGGAGGCCTCAAACATTCAGATTTTTACAACAGGTTTCATAAATACAGAGTATAGATTTATCAAATGTGTTGCATAACCCAGAATTTTCTGCTGTAAAGTTGTATTACATGTTTCATAATATGTTCACAAGTCTGCTCACATAATTGGTCAAGAAATAATATTATGGATGGTTTTCTTGAAGAGATTGGTTGAGAAACGCCTGAGTTATTCTGTGTTGAAGTTTGAGTCCTAGTAATAATTTAAAAAAAGGCAGGAGATGGATCAGAAAAAGTGGAGTGGATGGGCTGAAGAGGATAAAAAAGGGTACTTTTGGTGTTTTTTTTGTGAATTTTGGTTGAGAAATAGCCAAGTTGTGATTTGTTGAAGTTTAAGGTATACCTGCAAGCTGGGAGTGAAGCGGAGGTGATTCAAAAAAATCAGAGCACGTGGCAGTGAAGAAAAAAAGAATATTTTTGTTATTTTTTCTTTTAATTTTTGTCAAGAACTGGCTGAGTTGTGGTGTGTTGAAGATTTAGAGGGGGGGGGGGTGAAGTCCTTTTTTGATTGTAGTGAGTGGTTTTGCTGTTTGGTGCCTGCAGGAAAATTTTCAAATTTTGTGCAGGCACCTGTGGGACGTGTGCGCGCCCCCTGGAGGCTAAACTATGCATAATTAAAAAAACCGTTCCTAAACACGGAATCAATGTTTGCTGAAAACTGTGTCAAAATGCAGAAAAGCGTGTCTTTTTATTAGGGGGTCGGAAAATGACTCCCAAAAATTGTTTGATGACTCCCATTTTGGTCAAGGGGTTGTCAGACGGGAGTCGTTCTTCTAAATCGATGGCCGACTTTGGGAGTCGGCCATCCAATTTCTTTTTTGATTTTTAAGGAGTCGGTGCCCCAAACCACCCCTCATGCTTGAGGGGGTTTGGGAGTCGCTCGCTCCCATGACCGGAAGGATTTCCTTCCGGTCAACAAGAAACAAAAATCTCATCGAGCGGAAGGGATTCCTTCCGGTCAATGAGGTATAATCAACCGGAAGGGATTCCTTCCGGTCGATGAGGTATAACATACTCATTGACGGAAGGAATCCTTTCCAATCAATGAGGTATAACAATCTCATTGACTGGAAGGGATTCCTTCTGGTCAATGGGATGTAACAGCCTCATCAATCGGAAGGAATCCCTTCCGATTGATGAGGTTTTTATACCTCATTGATTGGAAGGGATTCCTTCCAATTGATGAGATGTAACAATCTCATCAACCGGAAGGGATTCCTTCCGGTCAATGAGATGTAACAATCTCATCAACCGGAAGGAATCCCTTCCGGTCAATGAGATTGTTATACCTCATTGATTGGAATGGATTCCTTCCGTTGTGGTGTTCTAAATGGTACAGGCCCCCTCAAGACCGAATTTCAATTTTCAATTTTCAATTTCTCAATATCCTCAAGCCTCAAGATTTCAAAGTTATCACCTCAAATCCCCACTCAGTCCAATGGTTTCCTCATTTTATTATTTTATTTCATTTCCTCTTATTATTTACTCTTCATATTATTTTTCATTCATCTTGATTTTATTTTTATTTTACCATTTATCATTCTTTATTATATTTTTCAAATCACCTACCCAGTAGACAGTCTTGTTTTATTTTCTTGGTCCTAAGACATCTTAGTATGTTGGTTTATTTCACTCTTGATTCTTTGCTTTTTCTTTTCTTTCCTTTCCTTTTCTTTTCTTTTCTTTCCTTTCCTTTTCTTTTCTTTTCTTTTCTTTTCTTTTCTTTTCTTTTCTTTTCTTTTCTTTTCTTTTCTTTTCTTTTCTTTTCTTTTCTTTTCTTTTCTTTTCTTTTCTTTTCTTTTCTTTTCTTTTCTTTTCTTTTCTTTTCTTTTCTTTTCTTTTCTTTTCTTTTCTTTTCTTTTCTTTTCTTTTCTTTTCTTTTCTTTTCTTTTCTTTTCTTTTCTTTTCTTTTCTTTTCTTTTCTTTTCTTTTCTTTTCTTTTCTTTTCTTTTCTTTTCTTTTCTTATCTTTTCTTTTCTTTTCTTTTCTTTTCTTTTCTTTTCTTTTCATTGTCTTTTCTTTTCTTTTCTTTCTTTTCTTTCT